ATGTTTCCAAGAGTAATGTCAGTCTCAGGGACTTCTGGAAGTTTGACTTCAGCCTTGGTTTCTTGTAGTGCCACATCTAAATCTTTCTTTGTTGAGCTTGAATCAATGTCTTGTCCTTTGCCTTGGGGCACAGAAAATCCAAGACTTGGCAGTCTGAACTTGCTTCCTTTCTCGTCATGTTCAGTTCCTGTAGTTTTTATATCCACTGATGGGCATTTGATGCTGGGTGCTTCAGTGTTTACTGCAGGATCCTCTTCAGTAATGATGCCTTCGCACATATCTGGTACTTCTGTAGTGGTACTTGGAGTGCCACCTCCAAATTTTGGCCATTTCACTGTCGGCATATTCCATTTTGATGGGGATCCTTTCGTATCCTTTGTCGCAACTTTGATCTCAGGAGCTTTGGCTTCCACTTCAGCTGATGGGTCTTCAATGACCATCTCTGCCTCTGGAATAGAAACATCTACACCTCCAAGAGTAACGTCAGCCTCAGGGGCTTGTGGAGGTTTGACCTCAGCTTTAGCCTCTGGTAGTGTGATTTGTGAATTGTTTGGGGAGGAGCTCACATCAAATTCAGGCCATTTTATTCTTGGCATTTTGATGGCAAACTTTGGCTTTTTGACCTTGCTTCCTTGTCCATGAAGGTCACCCTCAATCTGCACAGGTTTGATTTCCAGTTCAGGTTTTTCAACATATATCTTTTGCTCTGGAATAAAAACAGGCATGTTTCCAAGAGTAATGTCAGTCTCAGGGACTTCTGGAAGTTTGACTTCAGCCTTGGTTTCTTGTAGTGCCACATCTAAATCTTTCTTTGTTGAGCTTGAATCAGTGTCATGTCCTTTGCCTTGGGGCACAGAAAATCCAAGACTTGGCAGTCTGAACTTGCTTCCTTTCTCGTCATGTTCAGTTCCTGTAGTTTTTATATCCACTGATGGGCATTTGATGCTGGGTGCTTCAGTGTTTACTGCAGGAACCCCTTCAGTAATGATGCCTTTGCCCATATCTCGTACTTCTGTAGTGGTACTTTCCAGTTCAGGTTTTTCAACATATATCTTTTGCTCTGGAATAGAAACAGGTATGTTTCCAAGAGTAAAGTCAGTCTCCTGGACTTCTGGGAGTTTGACTTCAGCCTTGGTTTCTTGTGGTGCCACATCTAAACCTTTCTGGGAGGTTCGCCAGTCAAATTTGGGTCCTTTTATTCTTGGCATTTTGATGGCAAACTTTGGCTTTTTGACCTTGCTTCCTTGTCCATGAAGGTCACCCTCAATCTGCAGAGGTTTCATTTCCAGTTCAGGTTCTTCAATGGCCATCTCTTGCTCTGGAATAGAAACATCTACACCTCCAAGAGTAACGTCAGCTTCAGGGGCTTGTAGAGGTTTGACCTCAGCTTTAGCCTCTGGTAGTGTGATTTGTGAATCTTTTGTGGATAAGTTCAAATCAAATTCATGCCCTTTAAAGTTTGACATTTTCATGGCAGTCTTTGGCATTTTATCCTTGCTTCCTTGTCCTTCAAGCTCACCTTCAATCTGCTGAGATTTAGTTTGCAATTCAGGTTTTTTGATGACTATCATTTGCTCTGGAATAGAAACATCTACACTTCTAAGAGCAATGTCAGTATCATGGACTTCTGGTAGTTTGTAATCTGCATTCTTTTTTGAAAGGCTTACATCAATTTTAGGCCCTTTTTCCTTTGGCATGGAAATGATGAGATTTGGCATTTTAAATGTACCATCCTTCCCCTGTCTTTCAAGTGTTTTCATCTCTGCCCCATCAGTGATTACCTCTGCATTGGGCACATTTATGCTGATATCTGGAGTAACAGTTTCAAATCTGGGCAGTTTAATCAAGTGCTTTTCAGCTTCAGTATCTTTTACTTCACCTCTTATTGCTGGAATGGACTTCTCAGGTTTTGACTTTGTAGCATCAAGAGTAACTTCACAACTTGTAAGCCTCACACCATCCACTTTATTGGCTGGCGAACCACCTTCTGAATCAATATATTCAATGCTCTCAAGTTCAGGCATTTTGAAATCAGATATGACTTCCCCAGTTTGCCCCTTGGTTTTCTTTGGTCCACTTTTTGATGTTTTTACTTCTGGGACCAATATAATCCTTTCTTCTTTAACTGTGTCTTTTTTTTGCTCAGAGACCAATTGTTTTGGCAAGTCAATTCCAATGTCCGGGATTTTTATATCTGGTTTTGCCATTTCAACACTAGGCATTGTTATCTTCTCCTTTGATTTTTTATCTGATTTTTTTTGGCTGAGTTTAACTACAGGTTCATAGTCAAATGCGATGGCCTTTGTGCGTTCTGTTTGGTCAGTTTCTTGTGGCTGAAGAATGGCTCTTTCTTGTGCACTTTTTTGGCTAGGTATTGTAATATTGTCTTGTTTATACATCTCAGTTTTAATTTCTTTGTCACTTTGTTTTGGCTTAGTTTTGGAGTCCTTTTCAGTTTTTATCAAACCTACCTTTGTTTCAGTTAAAGGTTCCTCAGCTAAAGTTAAATCAGCAGGTGTGATCTTTGGTAGTTTGACCATAGTCTTGGAGATTTCTGGAGAGGCATTTATGTCAAACTTTGTGAAATGTGTCTCATATTTTGTTTTAGCATCTACAACTTTAGTAGGTGTTTTCACTGATATTCTTTGTGCATTTGCATCAATCACAGTAATTTCCTCAGGAATAGGCATTCCATATGTGTCAACCTTAGGTAGCTTATATCCAGGCAATTTTGAAACTGCCTCTTTCACACTGTCAACATCAATTGACAGTTGTACAGTTTCAGCTTGAATTTCATTAGAATTCTGTCCTGTAAAAACAGTTTTAGGCTCTTTAATGACTTTGTCTTTGGTCCTCATAGACTTGTCTTCCATACCTGGAATCTCAATGTCTTCACGTTTGGGAAGTTTTGTTTTTGGAAGACTGCGTTTTGACAGTCTGTCATAAGGGTCTTCGATTGCCCCTGTCTCCTCAGTTGTAATCTGCTCAGTTTTAGCTGTACATTCTTCACCATTTACATTCTTTTCTTGTATAATTCTCTCAGTAGCAATTTCACTCAGGTCTACTTTAGGCTGTTTATATGTTGGTCCTGTCTTGGTTTCCTGTTTTTGTTTTGTGTCCTTTCCTCTCCTTGTTTTTTCTTCACCTTTCTTCTGAGATTTTTGTAAAAATGTGACATCAGATATATCAAGTTCCACCTTTGGTACACTCATTTTCACAGATTTTTGTGGAACTATGGTTGAACTCTCACTGCTGATTATTTGAGGCTCAGCATCAAGTGTTAGTTGATCTCCCTTTGGTTCTTTGTGTGACTCCAAACTTGGGAAGACGTCATATTTTCCAGATTGATCCTCCGTTTCAGTACTTGCACCTAGTGTTTTTAGTCTTTTTGGTGAGGATTTTGTTTTTGCATCTTTTTTATCCTTCCCTAAAATTTTCACTTTTAATTCAGACTTTTCTTTGTTTTTTCTTTTCTCATCAGGAGACTTGATGCCAGAGGGGCTTTCTTGATCTCCCAGAGGCACAATTAGATCTGCTGTTTTCATAATGCTCTTTACACTAATCTTCACCTTGTGCTGAACATTTTCAGTAAGTGTTTGATCATTTTGCTCAGCTCTTGAGTCTTCCACTCTTTTCAGGTCCTTTGCCACACAGACGTCAGGTGTTTCCTGCATGTCTACTGTGTGGTCAGTGTCGTCACTGCTCTGCCCAGTTGTTGGTGCATCTGTTTCCTGGTCTTCAGGTGAACTTATGTGGTCTCTCTTTGTTGGAACAGTAGCTTTTGTTTTGTACCTTTTTTTGCCTTTGAGAGCATCCTGAGATTTTATAGGTGACTCTGTGTCACTTGTGGTTGGGCTGAGCTCCAGTTTCTTCTGCTCATCAGCCTCTGAGGAACTGTGAGACCTTGTAAAACGGGACTTTTGTCCTGATCCAAAAGAGGGGAACTTGGGCCACGAAATACGTGCATCTCCATGCCTTTTGGTTTTTCCTTGCTCTCTCATCTCTGGAGTGTCGAGCTCTTCTTCCTGTTGAGCAATAGAAATATGGATTGTCATTTTTAGCCCCAAGACTATTTATCAGAAAGGTTTTGAGGAGACAATTTGAAAATAGTTACAGGGATAGTGTCAGAATCGATGCCAGGTTCAGTCTCTGTGCTTTTTTGGTTGCGTTTCAAACAGAGCCTCACTCTGTAAGCGTGAGCATGCCCCAGAATCCGAACAGCGTCCTCATATGGCATGCTGTCAAAATACACAGTGGCACTCAGAACCTGATCACCTGTGTAAAAAAAAAAGAGCACAAATATCTCAGAAGCAAAAGATGAGATACTGTTTCATGAGTGATAACAGGAATTATTCAGTGGAATGAAAATTACAAATACAGTATTATTTCTTTTTAAACTGGCTCTTAAAGTTTCTTTAGTGAAGATAATGGTATTTACATGGACAAAAGTGTTAGTACTTAGTCTTTTTGTAGTTTTAAATTAGGTATTTTTTCTAGCTTTTGATATTTATATGTTGAATATCTCGGAATAAAATGAGGAATTTACAAGTACCACAGATTTTCCAATGTACCTAATTTCAACTATTTCTCAGTTTGATTATTTAGAGCATTTTTAGTTTTCCTTGCAATTGCAAATAATGTCTCTAATGGTTTCAAATTTCAGCTGTTAGCATACCTTCTTTCAACTTCAGGCTTTTTGAGGCTGGTGACTCTGGTACCACTTCCTTAATGAAGAGTCCCTCTTTCCCCCCTCCACCATAAATTAGACCTTCTGCAGAGCCATCTTTGGCTGTTTTCACTATCACCCCAGACTCAGGGCTGTGAGCTTCCTGTCAGCACATCAAAATAGAAAGAATTATCATTGCACCTTTAGCTGGGTTTTTGCAGATACAGTACAGAGAGGAGCAGGTGGGATTGACTCACCTTCAGTTTACTCATCTTTGGAGTCGAGCACTTTTCAAACATGGACCCAAGCCCAGAGAGTTTGCTTTTCTTTACACTCCCACTTTTGTGGTGTGAGTCATGCTCTGTTGCACCCTTAAAGAAAAACAGAGACAAATCTTTAAATGTTTAAACATAATATTCTAAAAAGATTAATGTTGAAGACAGAGCTTCAGCCTTAGTAAACAGAAAAAAGAATAGATATTTCATAGAAGAATAGAGATATTTCATCACTAACAGTCTTTGGAAGCATTTGAACTGAGAGAGAAAGGTATATATTCTACATATATGTACGTTGATACATGGGAGTAGCAGTAAACAAAAATAGAAATCCCATTTTATAGCATGCACTGTTGACTGGACACAGCAGAAAGCCACTAAGTTTATACAGACAAATTGTTGATCAGTTGCATCCTCAGATTTCTACTTTGTGCATTCTGTGTACTCACTTCATAATAATAATAATAATAATAATAATAATAATAAAGAACGCCCCATTTAGTTCTTTTTCAGGGTTTTTTTCCTTTGCCCATGCAATACTGTGCTTTTAATGCATTTCATTTTCCTTCTCAGCAGCACACATTCATCGAGGGATGTCAAAGATAGTAACAGTGTGATTAAAGCCAAAAACCCCAAGTACAGTATATCCACATATCTCAGTCCAAGATTAAATCTGTATTAAATCCAAGCTGTTCATAATGGTGAAAAGAACAAATTAATGCATAATTTAATCATTCTTAGTTTGAGGGAATTAATTGTCATTTGAGGAAATAAATTGCACAATTTATGGAATAATTTATCAAAAAAAATAAAAATCCCATTCCATTTAGCAGGCGGTGTACTGTACAACAACACACTGTATTGTCTGTGGCTGCTTTAGTATAAGAAACAGCCAACACAGCAGTTTCCTCTATCAAAGATTTTACAGATTCTGACAAAGAATACATATTTTTGAGAGTGGCAGGCAAAAGGAGCACTACAACGCACATGTTTACATACAAAGGCACAAGCTTGCTTCTTGTGGTCATGGCTTTATTTCTCTAGCTCCATTTATTTATGGCCTGAACTAAACAGACTGTTGAATAGTTCAGTGTTTTTACAATCATTTAAAGTAACCAGGTTGAGTTCTTTAAATGTTATGTTAAATAGATATCCTGTTTCCCCAACTGAGGTGAGAAAAAAGGAAAGACCCAGTTATTTCTGCTGGAGAGGCCATCTTACATTTTAACTGCATATCCAGGTTATGGAGTGAGTGGGTTCTTTGATTTAGTGTCTTAACCGGGTTTCTCCCTGTAGCCTGGTTTGTTGTGGTCATATGATATAGTGGTATGATGGTGTTCTTTACCTCTTTGTCACTGTCTGTGTATTTTTCAGATTCAGGATATTCTTCGACGGGAGACGATCCTTGAGGGCGTGGTCTCTCTTCCTCTGTGAACGCAGGTGGCTCATCAGATATCTGTGTGGACATGAGGTCAGTCAACACAAAAGCAACATGGTCTGCTCCTAAAACAGTTATTCAGTCAGTGTTATTCAGACTTTTTTCATCTGCCTAAACATCTCCTCCTCTCCAGCCACCTGAAAAACACTTTTAAAACTAAAACACATTCCTGAACAAGGAAGGTTTAGAGAGAACTGGATCACAAATTGTGTGATAACACCTTGTTATGCCAAAGGCAGCACAGACTGGATGTGTAACTGTTTGGCAATTAATTATTGTCATATTAATGGTGTGTTTCCATGGATGGCAATGTTGGCAATTCTGTCAGCTCTACACCAGAGTGAAATATCAAAGCAATAAAATTATTGTATGTAGCACTAAATAATTTAGCACATAATAGTCCTTTGGTGATGAATCCTAATAACTTTGGTGATCTTTTGAATTTTCATTTAGTGCCACCAACAGTTTATGACTGGTTACTTCTGAAACTAATGACTGAATCTGTGATACTGTAGCTTCAGTCATATTGTGATTATTGTTAGATAGCATGTCAAAGTTCAGTGGCTAACATGCTAAACATTAGCACTTATTATTTCACTTAACAGCATAACTCCAAACCTACAGTACATGAGTCGTATTGGTTTTATGTAGTTTCATTCCAAAACTCAAGGATACAAACTGAATATCAAAACACACAATAAGTGAATTAAAAATTATGCGAATCTATCAAATATTCATTGATAAATGCTGGCATGATGAAGAGATTGTTTGTTTGTTTGTTTGTTTGTTGTTGTTGTTGATTGAAGCCAAGACCAAAACCTTTAGTGACAGATAAAGAAATCAAACCGAAAGACAGAATAAAACTTTTATGTGACTTTCAGTCACTGTGAAATAACTCACTGATTCGTCCTCTGTACCAGGCTCTGGTCCTCTCAGCCTTCGACCAGCTCCTGTTCACAAAAAAAAACCCAGATTGCCAAAATAACATCTGATGTGACATCTGCTTATTCTAAGTATGCTTTAGTAAATAGCAGAGCTTTATTCCTTTATGTTCTGCACACACAAGTGAATAACTGTCTCAAAATAATATTTTGCATAAACGAATGAAAGCAATGAAAACTGCGCAAATGTACACACACATACAAACAGAGGTTAAGTGCTAGTGATTGAGCAGTAAGCTGAGTCTTCCACCCCATCCGACTCCTGGTAGTTGTTTTAAAGCTCAGAGAGACACTGGAACACACAATGAGACTATTTAGGATTTTTCCTGGCAATAATTTCTCCAGGGGCCTGCTGCCTCCTCCATCTATTAAGCGATGCACTGTATCGACCCGCAGATTAGACTCTAGCTTCTCAGCTCAGCCCTTCAAGGCTGCTGAAATAGGAAAGTCTGACTCCGAATGAATCTGGTTAGTCTGAGTATTATTATTACATGCTCCAATACCTGACCTATATTTGGACTGATTCCATTTTAAAATACGCCTTTATACAGGCAAATTTGAGAGTTCTATTGTATCAGAATTCCTACTTAGGGATGTAGTTCATTTGTTAATAGTCAAATTTAAAAGTTGATAACTGTAGATTATTGTATAAAAAGGGTCGACTTTTGAGGAGAAATCGTGTTGCACGGTCTCTTACTATAAACATCTCCAGATTTTCTGTGGTTTCAGATCCTCATTGGTTAATACATTCATATCACCAAGAAGCCACTGATAAACATTTACGTTGCCAGTATACGTTAGTACTGAATAAATGCAGCTGGACTCAGCACTAAGGATGAAATTATTTCTATTGCACATAAAATGTTTTTCACCTTTAAGCAGCTGATTAGTCTTTTTTTCTAATGGGGAACCAGAAGTGGTTTACTGAGCAAATGTATCATAAAAAACAAACAAACAAAAATGTTCGGGGTACAATCTTTGCTCCACAGTTTTTATGGATGTTTTCGTGTTCTCTTACTGCTGTTAAAACCAACTGGTCTGTATTAAAATATACAAGTAGAGAGCTTTCTGTGAATTAATTTGAAAACAGCCTTTGTTCTGGCTGTTCAGGCTACAAGTGCAAAACATATAATTGTGGGGATAAGTATTCCTTTAAAACCTTGAAAAAGTGTAACAACTTTTCAATTAAATTTATATAACAGTCCTAAAATGATCCACACTATTGAACATATATACTGTAGCACCATATAATTCTTCAGCTAGCACTGACACCCCACCCACAACCTCACATTAATGTGCGTCTTGTGAAGAGTTCTTACAGCCTGTGTAAGCGCATTAGAAGACAGTTAAAGCAAGAGACCGATGGTATAATGCCTGTTATTCTATCAGGGTGTGTCACCGCCTCAAGTTTGGTTATCAGAGATCAAATAAAATTATAGCTCTAAAAACTTGCATTGTCATCACAGAATCATGTTCCTTTAACACCAAGATTAGAAATCATATCTGACAGAAAAGACCCACACTGTGATCTCTGTCCCAGTGAACACGCCACAGTCTAAACATGTACTAAAAGCCTTTATTGCTGCCTGTTTAAAGTCAAGTGCTGAATGAATTCTTATCATACTGTCATCAACATCTCAGAGTTTTAGAATGAAAGCTCATTCTGTGGAATCAAACACAGCGCACCTACCTGCTGCAGCTGTTTGCTTAACTCCAGGGAATTAACAGCGTGTTATGGACACGTTGTTCCGACTGCACTTAAAGATTCCTGGTGTGAGTGTGACTCTTAAAGTAACGAATGTGATTTGTTTAGTCACAGGTAGATGGGGCGGGGCCTATTTTGGTCACCTTGCCTAAATTTACCACTCCCATATTGAATTAAATGTTTTTAAAGGTCCTCATGGTGATATTGTTCAGAGACTTTGCACCTGTTTATTATTCCTTAAAATAACTTTAAATTTAGATGAATTTATGATTGATTATTATAAATACACCATCTTAAATTTGGTTACTTAATCAATTACCCAAATGAATTACAAAACTACTTTAAAACTACTCAATCTAGCTTCTTTTTAACCCAGAGGGTCCAGTTAGACTCAATACAGACACCATAAGCTGCTCCTAACTGCTCTTTGCTACCCCCATCACATCCGGTTACCTAAAGTGATCCATAAACTATGGATGGCTGTTTGTAACAAACTGTACATAAATGAAGCTAGCATTAGCTGACTAACAGTAAATGTGTCAGTCCAGTTACTGCTAATGTGACACAAAGCTCCAGTTACTTCCAATTAAAATCATATTAATTAATAAGCTATGACTATGCTAGGTGGCTAATGCTACCAAAACAAACAGGTTAGCTTTAGATGCTAACACATCCAGAAGAAAGAAGGCCACATCTGAATCCAGTCTGAGTCCTCTGGCTGCTTTTAACCCTCTCCATGTCAAACAGCCAAACCCATGTTAACCCTGGTTGTTGCTCTTTCTTTGTCCCACTCTCTCTGTGCTAAAGATGCCACCTCTTCACTCTGGCAGCCGCTGGTTCAGACTTTTAGCTGCCCAGAACTCCTCCATGTCTGATACGTCTACTTGTGCTTGTTGTAACCTTGGCTAGATGCTAGGCGGGGCTGACTTACAGACCATACTTTGACAACACAGGGTGGAGAAGCTGGAATAACAACAGAAGGGCTGTAGGCAGCAGAGTGACATGGGGGGTGGTATAGCTGAGAGTAGGATGGCTGATTAATTGGTTAATCATTTGCTTTATGAAATGTCAGAACATAGTACAGTCACATCTTCTTGGAGCCAAAGGTCACATCTTTAAATACCTTGTTTAGTCTGAAAACCAAAAGGTATTCAGTTCACTGTGATACTGTATATTACAAAGAGAAGCAGCAAATTCTCTCATTTGAGAAGCTGGAACCTGAGAAATCGTAGCCGCTTTTTTTTCCATTTTTGCTTGATATGAATGAAATGAATAATCGGGTGACAAAATAGTTGCTGATTATTTTTATCAATCCACTAAATTGAGTAATCGTTCATGCTCTATGAGACAAAAACCTACTGTAGACGTGTTATTTTAAACATGAGTCTTCTTGCACACAAAGCCTGCAAATATATTAAATGTGCTTCTTGAAATGTAAACAGATGAAAGTCTCCTGTGCAAATAGAGAAGCAGAGATACTAAATGCCATAACAAATGGATTAGAAGGAGGAGACATACTTTGAAACAGGAAGCTGTTTGTCACTGAAATAGTGCACTGGAAAGGAAACACCCTGGGGAGATATTGACATTCAAGTCTGATAAATGTCGTCCAACTCTGATGTTATGTACAGACTTTCAGAAGAATTCCTTCTTGTGTTATATGGCCTGTTTTTAAAGTGTTTTAAAGCTACATCGATCTTTTCAGTAGCAACTAATATAGTGCAGTGTCATCTTTTTAAATTAGTACTATCAGTAATTGTATACTTTAGAGGTTTCAGACATCTAGTACATTCACTATTCTGTTTTTACATAGGTGTTACGTGGAGCTACTGGCACCCAGTGTCTTCAGGAAGTTAAGCTGAACAGAATTAAATAGATTCATTAAATTAATTGGAGTGTTTGGGTCCCTCAAGGCTGAAGACTGTCATGTGCAATATGTTAAGTACATAGCTGTAGTTCTGAATCATGGTATCAGTGTGGGCAGTGTGTTTATGGAGGATTAAGGCCCTGCATGTCATGACTGGATGATGTATGCAGTTCACCACTTCATTCAGGCAGAGGGCCAGTGTTCCTGCCACAACTACTGGCACCTTACATACTGAACCTCCTTTCTCAAATATTTGTCATGTGGGCGTTGCAGACGCCTTGATAACAATTCTGCTGGGTATAATTGTTAAAATCATGTGTAGAGGCCATACACCCGCTGGAGCTATCCTAGTTTTTATGTAGTAAATGATCATAAAGCTGTTGCCTGATGTTCTGATTTGACTTTTGTGGCAGTATTCTGCACATATAGAAGTACAAGCAGTAGATGCTGAAGTCATTTGTGGTGCAGATCCTGCATGCTTCATTTTTGGGTACAATTGCAGCTCTGGATTTGGGTGTGTCTCATCTCTCTGTGTTTGTGCAGATGTAAACTGCAGGCACTGTCTGCTGTAAACAACACTGATATTGATACTTTCACTCCTCTGTACGAACACAACGGCATGACAGTGAACCTCTCACATAATCGCTTGGTTTAAATCAGGAAACAGACAGTGAACCTCTCACATAATCGCTTGTGTTGGCATCAGTTTAAATCAGGAAATGAGGACTGCAGTCTTAGAATTTTAAATAAGTTTGTTGATGTACTCTCAACTAAAAATCCTAACTGTACTGTGTTGGTTGTCTGTCCTCAGCTCATCTCTTACATAACCACCTTCTGCTCCAGTTTGTTCCCAGTTGAAAAGCACCTGGAAGGCTTCCTGAAGCTCCCCTCTTCACTAAACTAATATAAAGTGACACAGCTCATTATTTGTGTTCCTGGATTTGGATTTTGCTCATTTTTGGTTTGACTGACACCAGCTCCTTTCATTGGAAGGCCATTTGTTTGAGTCCAGTTATAATAAGATTTGGGCAAAGGAAACAAACAGAATTACATTCTCTGCATAATCTGCATGGATTACATATATGAACATGAGGCTACAAACGTGCATGTTGTCAGTCTGTTAATCTGCTGCTGACTTAAAGTGAGTTGTTGTCAGTCTGTTAATCTGCTGCTGAGCTTCATCACAGAATTCATATCTTGATCTGCCAGTATTCCCACAATGCACTACTCTACAACACAGGCACACAAAGTTAGATCAGGTCAGCAATCACTCCCCCAATCAAACACTTTTTACTGTTTGTTTTGCCTCACATGCCTGGAGCAGCAAGCGACTTTGATTTACTGATCATTTAGCTGGGTTACTTGATCAGAGGGTCTGACGGTAAATGTTAGTTACTGCTGAAAGTGTTCACTGAACAGTATAGGGTTACTCTCATGACAGTAGCCTGTTTTGACCACAGCCATGTAAATAGAGTCTGGAGAAGCAGCTTTGTTTTCTATTAAATTCACTTAAGTGTACTATTAAATCTATAAGTCTACAGGATGTTTTGGAGGCGTTTTCCTCCCTGTTAAGAATGAACATCTAAATGGAAACACTGTGTGTATATACAGTATATAAAGCAATGTCCAGCTGGTTGATGCATTTTAAAACAAATGCTCAGGTTGAATGTTTTCAGTAAAGCTACTTTGAGTGATAGAAGACATATAAACTATTCAAGTGGTGTAATATTGATTTAAAGCTGCTTTAGGCTCTGCTGCTGAGCAGATTAGCCATCTCGACTGCCTCATTTCCTTGCTTGCGCTCTCTCTCCTTGTTACGCACTCTTTCTCTGACCTTGAGCGTCGCCTGGAGCCTCTCCACGTCATCTGGGACATTTATTTCAAATAAACAGCAGAGGTAAATGAAGACGATTATGGGAAATGGAAAGCATAAACATAAAAATACTGCATTAATAATTTAATACACAGTACATATCCACCTCTTAAAGCTCCTGCTAAAGCATCCACCAATGCAGTAACATGTCAAGATATCCACTAATAAACATAATTCTTTTCTAGACAATTGGAAGACATTTTGCATAGATAAGCAGTTACCTGAGACAGACGATAAACTCCAGTGAGCATTGTTGCAACTTGATTTATGCCATTTTTATACATAAAAATATGCTAATAGTTCTGTTTGACTTACACATTATAAGTAAAAAAAAAACTTTCAAGCAAAATAATGTTTCCTGAAAATAGTGGTGTAAAACTGTGCATTGTGCACCAGAAAACATTTGCTGAATGGAAACACAAATATGTATGGAGCCAACAACGCCATTTCAGCCTTGTAGTGTCTGCAAAAGCGACTTGCATAATGAAATTCTAACCATTAAAGGATTAGTATGTCAGTCATTCATTGTGATGGATAGTGACGCATCCGTGTTTACCCAGCTGAATCTGAAGATTCTTGATCCATGTCATCAAAATCTACATAACTATGTTCTGTACTTGATCAGATATGGTTTATTTACATTGCATCTACAGTTTGTCATTTTAAAGTTATGCACAGACAACATCAACATCCATGAGATGGACCCATAAAGATAGAATGAATTTGCAATAAATAATTTCCACCTGTGCACTGCTTATGCTTCAGAGCGTTCAGTATCTTTCATTTTTAGAAATTTTAGACTAAGCAGTAAAACTGATGCAAGTTTACAGGTAATCTGTCACAGGAAGCGTTCAGCTTTAGAGCTTACACCTGTGGGGATTCTGCCAGCAAAGGCATTACTAATTTTGGGAATCTTTTTTTCCCATATTTCAGCAGCTGGTTCATCTTTAGCCCCAGGAAGTTGTCTTCTATTACTATCTGCGTGATCCTGATTTCTGCTTTGCTGAATTGCGCAGTAACCGAGTCTGTTTGCTTTTCAGCTGCGACTACAAACACAGCAGGAGGGAAGCAGGAGAAGTGCGGAGGTGCCTGACATCCACTATGATGACATCTTGAAACACTCCCCCGTACCCTGCAGACACACCCAGTGCTCAATGCAGGTCAGCAACACAACACAACTCAGCATCAGGACCAGCTGCCTTAAATTTGCTCACTGGCTTCATCACAAACACATAAACATAATCTCTCCCACTGCACTACTGAACCCTGCTGCTGATTCAGTGAATTGCTCATGGAAAGACAGCACAGACAAAATCACAGATAGAGGAAAAACAGAGCAGAGAGAGAGTGATGCCCACCCGTTCCTGACGAGGCAGCTTGCCAGTTGGGGAAGGCCAGGTGGAAACAGTCGCACATGATGGCAGCGGTGGTTGAGATGGCGGCAGCAGAGACGAGGTCCTGGGTCAGGCAAGCGGGGGAGTTGGAGGGAGAGACAGTGTTGGTGGAGGGTTAGTCAGGTGCTGCTGCTGCAGCTTCCCCCGCCTTGTGCTGGATCAGTCTGTGTTTGCAGGTCAGAGCGCCGCAGCGCAGCAAGAGATGAGTTGCAGAAATAACAGGCGAGCAGAGAGAGTTAGAGCTCACTGCTGCCTCTGAACTGTCCACCGAGTGAAGGAAACTCCCTCGCCTGCCCCATAAACATGGACCTCCAGAGCAGCATGCTAACTTAATTATGGGAGGAGCTGCCCCCCACCCCCCAGCACACACAGATACATCCCTCAGTTCTTTTCTACTCCTCCTCCTCTTCTTCCTCTCTCCTGTTTTCAATCTCAGTGACCATCCTAGTTGGACAAGGACAATCAGGATGTCAGCTTCTGGCTCCAGCAGTGATGAGAGTGGGGTGAAATCGTTTATTGACATGGGGCAATAACTCAATTTGAAGACATACACTTAGTTTAAAACACCTCACTGTGGACAGGGAGGCAAGATGATGAGGATTTCAGCAGGGCAAAGCGTGTAAGGAAACTGAGGGAGATCAATCTAAACAGCGCCAGTTATGGTGGCCTGTGAGGCTCAGGTCAGAACAGCAGTTTTCAAGATTACATTTTGAAATGACAAATGATAAAGTAAATCTGTGCTCTGGGCACACTGACTCCAGGCACAAATACAGTGTCGCAAATACAGTAAACATGTAGCTCAGGAACCTACAGTGTGATTCATCCAGCGTGCAACCAACAGAAAGAGAATATGTGTTCACATGGCGAACGAATAAGGTAGTCATGTGTTATGAAGTATAGATGCTAATGTGGAAGCATAGAAAGATTAAGCCTGAGAGTTATAACGCTGATGATGCTACCTCAGATTGAGACTTAAAAAACATCCGGTTTGTCTTAAATTGCTACCCTAACATTAAAATATTGTAATTTCATCTTGCACAAAATTTCAGCTTCAATTCGACCTGAAAGTATCAATTATAACAGTTAATTAATTTGTTTTTCAGCAAAGAAAAATAATGTACCACAGTCTGTCCAATCACTTAACCATCATCAAATGAAAATGTCTCTGGTTCCAGTTTCTAAAATGGGAGGACTGCTGCTTGTTTTTAGCAAGCAGTTACAGATATCACTTTGGGCTCCAGGCACTTATTTGGGGATTTTTTAATTAATTACAGACAATACAGGAATATCAATAATTGACATCAGTGATAAAAGTTATTGTTAGACGGAATCTTAAAGCTTTGGTGATCATAAGTGTATCTGTCTCCTATGATGCGACTTGCTTGTCCTGCCTTCCTCAAGCGACTAACCAGGTCTTTGCCTGACTCAGACTGAACATGTGACTTCAAGTGAAAGCTGTTACATCTGAAGGAGAAGACACAGGTTAAGAGCTTTTGAAAACTGGACAATTACAACATGGCCGCTGTCCAAAAAAAGAGGCTTCAACTCCCTCAGGAGGAGGTTATTTATGCTGACCATATATGTACCCAAGGGGTGCTGGAGAGGATGATAACCCCTTGCATACATCTCCTTCATGAGCATCAGGTTTTATTTGAAAATCTATTTGGATGTTTTTACCTGCCTGCTGACCAAATCATGGCTGCACTCACCGCTTCTCTGGGTGCTCTTGTGTTTTAAGAGCTAAGTGATGTTAGGACCTGAGAGAGAAGCTAGTGGTGCATTAGCCATGTTGGCCTCAGCCCTCAGATCAATACTGCAGAAGTGCAAGGCAGCACTATGGTGACAGGAAGCACAGGTATTAGGTAGTTTCTACTGTCCAGACCTGCAGTATCTCAAGTATGGGTTTTCCTGCAGTATGCAATGTTTACGCTTTACATGTCTGTACAAAATAACTACAATAATATAGTATAAAAACACATATGCAACAGTATTCCAGGATGAGTGTCTTCCACAGCCCGGCCAAAGCGATGATATCAGGTATCAGGACGGATATTTTTAGGCACATTCTCAAACTCTGTTCAGTTGACATGCGGTTACTTTCCAGTTATGCAATGATTCAGTCTGATAAAACTAAATGAGCAATTATTCAAATGTGAGCTAATAATTACAGTTATTTTATCTCATTATACATTGAGTCACACTTCAGTTTAGCTAATTTAATGAAACCGCTTCTGCTCTAGCTTCCTTTTCTCCTTTAAACATCTCTGCATTTGTGATTCTAAAAATGTTTTTGTCTCTGATTCTACATTCAAGTCAGACAGATTCAGATGGATGAGATAATCTCTTTACCTCTTTTCCTTTTTTTTTTTTACTTCTTGGCCATGAGCATGAGCATGAGCAGGCAAAGTGACACAGCATTTAGTTTTGGCTCAAGTTCAAAAAGCTCTAAATCAGTTCCTGGCCAGAAGGAGGAGAAAATATTGACCACAAGCTGAACAGCTCTATTCTTCTTTGTCATCAGTCCCTGAGGCTTTTTATTCATTTTTTGATCATATATGAGATTTTTTTTAGTATTTATCAGACAACATGTTGAGCATGAAAATGCTAGAGGACAAAAAGACATGAGTCAGAGCAATGTGTACATCACTACCAAAGACTGGCCTCCTTCTGAGGTAGCATGTCACCAGGTAGTGTCCTTCGGCACTATCACATAATATATACATTTGTGTGAAAGAAGTAACGATTTGTGTTTAGTCTCGTAAAGGAAGGTCTTGTTTGACTCACAAGTAAGGTCAGGTAAGTAAGAATCGTCAGAATTGTCAGTTGATCACAAACCCAGTGCTGATAAAGTCTCTGCCTCTTCTAACCTGGTGCTAACACACAACACCTATGACAGTTAAGACTAACTATGGAAGACACGAACGCTTTCAGATAAAACATTCATATGTATTTGTATGTATTTGTATTTGTTTAATTCTTTTTTGTGCTTTCTCTCTTGTATGTGCTTTGTCCTTAGGGACCAACACCTTCTGACTTTCCCATCCTGCCTATTGTACTTAAGCACATTAATTCCAATTAATGATGCAAATATTCACCAACAGCTAACAAATGTAAAGTTTAATTTTCTAAATGCTCAGTAATTTCCTGTTGTTTTTAGCCAAATGATTTATAACCAGGAGGAGTGAGGGCATTTGTTGGGACCTATTTTCAGCTGCAGATCAATGCATATTTGATACTCTAGTGAGTATTTAGCAACTAAATTGCAGGTTGTTCCTGCTGCATTGAAATGTTAGATTTTATAGGAGAACAATAGCATCCATCTGTATCACACTGAGACATCAAGGAACACACAATAAGGAACACACAATGCCCTTTAAGGTTTGGAACAACTTCATTATGGGCATTTAATATACTTCAGACGTAGGCAGAATTTAGTAAAACAGGACACAGGGATACTGAGTACGTCTGGGTTTGAGGAAGAAGGACAGGCATGTCCAAAATATCACAGTGACTTGCTTTGACTTGAAATCATTAGAAATGAAGGGATTTATTACTCTGTTTAACAGTTTGTTATGTTGCTTTGCTCATATTGTTGCCACAGAAAAGTATTTTTTGATTTATAGAAACATAAGATAGGAAAGTGGAAAATGTGAAGATATCGTTAAGCAGAATATGGATTTGATTTATAGCTAAATCTACAGCTCATTGTAACTTGTACTGTTCATTGTACAGAATGTGCCTTTATCCTGCAGGATATGTAAAAACATACAGTATACTGACTGTTTCTCTCATATGTTTTGCAGTTTGAGCTGCATTTACCACATTCGTGAAGTGGATTCAAGGCTGAAAGGTTGCTGGTTCAAATCCCTGGACATACAGGTAAAAGAGAAGTTTTCCATTTTTTTGGCTGGTTCAGTAGCTGTTGTAATCAGTGTTACAGATATCGCTTTGGGCTCCGGGCACTTATTTGTGTTTGTAAGCGAAGCAGCAGTGGGGCTGTGAAGGTGGGGGTTTCTGGGGGGAAAACTCAGAGGGTTTCCTCTGGATACATAAAATACCTAGAAATGTTTTTATATTTGAGGTTCACGCACCATCTTCACGGTTTGGTTTGGAGCTTAGTTGGTGTCATTAGGTGGGTTTCGACAATCTGCATTTACAAGGACAAGCGCTGATACTTGTGTTGCATCAGCTCTTGTTTGTATACAAACCCACAGACCTGATCTGTACCAGGACCTGATAATGAGTCAGGAGTGGAATATTAAATGCACCTTAACACATCGTGCATCCAGACAGAATGATTCCTGGAAACTGCACTGACCACTGAAGACAGAGCTGTACTCTGGTACAGCGGTTGATGGTGGGTGGCGGGTAATCTCCTCTGCAAAATTCATCCACTCTGACAGTGACTAAGACCTTTTGTACCTGCTAATTATCTGTAATCTAATCAAAAATAAAGCAGTCAAAATACAGAAAGAGCATGTTTTGAAAGCACTATATTGAAAATAGTCTGTAACATTTTGCCAGCTCCATTTACATACATGAGGGGAGCTACTGTATGTAAATCATCACACAACCCATATAATAACCAACTTTTTGATACAACAAACAAGTAAAACAATAAGAAACAGTATCAATTGAAAAGCACAGACAAGGCATCAAAGATAAAGTTAATATCAAAAAGTCAAAGTATACTCAAATACCTGTGAAGTAGTTACAAAAATATATAGATTTTACAGTCTGACTGAAAGGACCAGAACTAATAACTGTAATGAATGTAATTACAGCACATACATCAAAATGTGGCCCTCTCTCATGTGGTTACCATGTGATGGACCTCCATTCATACAGTAGTGCTGAAAGCACATCTGCCACATGCATGTGTCTCATCTAGATGTTACCAACCAGTGGCGTACGTGACTAATAGCTTCTACTCTGCCTTTAATTACCCGCATTTATAATTCATTTGGAGAAAATGAGATTGAACTACACTGGCAGTGCAGCCCTGTGGTCATTGTGATCGAGGGCTTTAGCTGGTTTGGTTGGTTTTTGGCTAAGACTTTACCGTTATCACCAGTATCATCATCAGAAATGCCACCATGTGAAAACCGTATAATTACATTTTAGAGGATTGTGATATTGTAAGCTGGAGAACTCCTACACCCCTCAGGCTTATCAAGTTTTGACATTGGTGGTATTTTTAATCAAGGTAAAAATACTCTATTACAAGTAAAAGTCATACATTCAGTTTTAGTTCAGTAAAATGAACAAGTATTAGAAGTATCACAAGTAAAAGCACTTACTTTACTACACTGTTGCTAAGCACCCCTGGTAGTTTTTGTCATAGGCTTATTATTGAACACATAAAATGTGACTTGATCTTCATTTGAGTCACAAGTGTAGGTAAACAAAATGTGCTTAAGCTAATAACACACAAACAATTATAGCCTTTCATGTTATTACTGAACACACCCAGTAAACATTTACAGTGCTGGTGGGAAAAGTAAGTGAAGTCTTTAACTTAATAACAGGTCGAAGCTCCTTTGGCAGCATTAACCTCAAACAAGCACTTCCTGTAGCTGTGGATCAGACGTGCACGATGTTCAGGAGAAGCTCTGGACCATTCTTCCTCACAGAGCTGCTTCAGCTCAGACAGTATCCATAGTACTCTACTGTCGATGTTTTCATGTTGGTATGAGAACAAAGAGCACCCTGACACTCCACAACACTACTGGGAAAATGTTTGAGGTTGAATTGTTTGAGAAGAACACATGGCACTACGTATGGTGTAAAAAGGAACCGTGTGCCAACATGAAAACATCAACAGTAGAGTACTGTGGAGGGAGCATCATGATTTGTGGCTGCCCTGCTGGCTCTGGGTCTGGACTGCTTCCCAACATGGAGGGGAAAATGAATTCCCCAGTTTATCAGGGTGTCCTACAGGATAATGTCAGGACAGCTGTCTGCCAGCTGAGGCTCAGAACAAGCTGGGTGATGCAGCAGGACAGTGATCCTAAAGACTGAAGTAAATCAATGACCGAACAAGTAAATCTGCCATGTGAAGCAGCTCAGTCAGAGCCCAGACCTCGACCCAGCAGAGATGCTGCGGCATGAGCTCATGGAGCTGTTCACACCAGACATCCTGGGATACTGTCTGAGCTGAAACAGCTCTGTGAGGAAGAATGGTCCAGAGTTTCTCCTGAACATCGTGCACGTCTGATCCACTGCTACAGGAAGTGCTTGTTTGAGGTTAATGCTGCCAAAGGAGCTTCGACCTGTTATTAAGTTAATAAAGAGTACACTTATTTTTCCCACCAGTACTGTAAATGTTAACTGGGTGTGTTCAGTAATAACATAAAAGGCTATAATTGTTTGTGTGTTATTAGCTTAAGCACATTTTGTTTACCTACACTTGTGACTCAAATGAAGATCAAGTCACATTTTATAACCACGTCATGGAGAAAACAAAGTCATCTCCAATGGTTCTTGCCACTGTATTTACTTTAGGCCAATACGCAACTTTTTATGTTGTCACTGAATATGGAAGAGCTCATTTTAGTGACTCTACATACGTTTAGGTTGTTTAATCTACAGGGAAACACGTTTCCTAACTGTGCATATGACAAATAAACACTTTGACCTTTGACCTACATCATATTTTAATAACTCATCCTACAGTTTGTCAGAAAAATTCTCACCTTTGACCTACATCATATTTTAATAACCCATCCTACAGTTTGTCAGCAAAATTCTTTACGTAAAGTAATGAGTAGCTATAGCTGTGAAATAAACGTATTTTAGAAGAAAACGTACAGTATTTTCCTTTGAAATGTAGTAAAGTATAAAGTATCATTTAGAAGCACTCAAGTAAAGTACAAGTACTTCATAGTTACTTGGTGAATAACTTGGATAAATGTAATTAGTTGTTGTGACAGAGAAGGTTTTGGTCATGGGTGTTTGTTACTGCAATGACCTGGTCGCTCACTTCAGCTTATTTCTTGTTTGCTGGTTCTTGGTTGCAACCTTTCCAAGAACGCCTTGATACAAAGCACTATGGCCTGTGGTACGTCTCTGTCTTAGTCAGTGGATTCGCTCAAGAAAAAAACATACCAGCAGCTCATTTGTTTCCCTCTGAAAAATGAATTGGAGCCTTTTAGTCCGAAGATGCAGATTCAAATCCATTTCTACATGACGGCAGGCGTCAGGTCGCAGCTTGGACCTGTACTTGAAGTTCCTCGGTGTCCAGATGACCTTGTAAGTCCCTTAATGGTAATCAGATAAAAATGAACTTGTTCCTCAGGGTTGTGTAGCTTGTCGGGCACATTCCCACTTCTGTCTTTATCATTTTGATGTCCATAATTTGTGTTTTTCCTACCAGTTACTGTACATTTTAAGCCTGGAGCTATTTATTTGACCAGTGTGGGGCGCTAGAACTCTTCACTAAAAGCACACCACCGAAATTCTTTGCCGCCTCTGATGATCTCATCCAAAAGAAAAACTGAATTTGTTTTTAAAAAATCTCATAAAATACCTTAAGATTAATGTGCAAAGACAGTTCAACAAACAGGTTGTTCATCATATGCGAGGTGTGCCTCAGACTACTCTGTGTATTGGCAGCCCCAAACGGCAGTAGTAAGTACTGTAAACACAAAATTCTTTTGTTTGCAGTTTACTCTTAAAGGACAGGTTCTATCTTAAAGTCTATCTTAAAACATTAGTCACATGCCCATAAAGACAGTGAAACAGGTTTTTTTAATAATCTGAAGTTAATATGATATTTCAATCTTCTGAGTAAGTCAAGCTGAAGTTGGTATTTTCCAAACTTACAGATGTTTTAATGCAAAATTCCCTCTTTTTGTTTCTCTCACTTACATTGGAAGCGTTTTAGGAGTGGATGGTAGTAATGGTCAGTATAAACAGAAAACCTGGTTCAGTGTTCATATGGTCACCTGACTGCAGACCTGGAAAATGGGAACCTATCCTTTAAGTGAGGAGTCATCACTGTTAGAGGGGATTTTACTGTCTCATAGTAAATGCAGCCCCACTTTACACTTTTCCTATAATTTATACAGATAAAACACATTTCTTTTAGATAACAAATTTGTTTTACATTAACATCTCGTCAAGTGCTACTGGATCTATCTGCCTACCTCCCCATCAGTACAGTTGTTCCATCCCATTGTTTTGCAGCTGCAGAGGGTGTTTGTTCTGTGAGTGTGTGCTGAGTCAGCCTGCTAGATGGAGGGTTTCCAAACCAGAGCAAACCAGAGCCCAGCTTTACTGCGCTGCAGCAGACAAATGTCTGCCTGCAGAGAAACATTAACCCGGAGTGAGACACCACAGCACTCTGCTGGGCCGCAGGCAGACATTTATACTGGACATCCAGTTTCACTGTGCTCAGTGTCATCACAGACAGACAGATGGATGGATAGATGGATATGGATGGCTGTATAGACAGACAGACAGATAGATAGATAGATAGATAGATAGCACTGCAATGTAACATAGGTGTGGCTATAGAATCAGACACGCTCTGTTCATGCGTTTAAATGGCAGCACCAGCAGTGCTTGTGTGCAGCAGTGCACGTGTTGCTCCTCCTCATGTGGCCACTCCCTGAATTCCAGCACTAGATTCCTCTGTCCAACATCATCTACTGCAACTCTGCTTCTGTGTCAGACTCACAAAGTTACGGTAAGAGAAAAATGGCACTGCAACAACACGCATGCTGTAAAGTAATGGAGGGAAAATAGATTTCCTGAATTTCCAAACATATTGTCACATTTTGCCTATTTGTGTTTAGTTATTTTTTCCCCTGATTCAAAGCCTAAATAGAATAGAAAGCCTTTAGCGTCATTGTACATTTTAAAACCAACAAAAACATGACCAGTATATACAATACATACAACTCATAAGTATAAAACTAATAAATACTTTAAAATAATAAAGAAGCAGTTTCTTATTCTTGCACAGAATGAATATTGCACCTACAACAATGTGAATTCATATGATATGTTTATGAATTGGTAGAATATAAAATTCTGATTGCCAGGGAAAGAAACTACTGTCAACAAGGCCAAATGTAGTTATATTTGATAGTGCATCTGTTGCATTTATGTAAACAGACAAATAATAAACCACAAACCATCAATAAGGCACAATTAAGGCTCCGTGGAGCTTGGTTAAATACATTTCACCCCCGGCTGCCATAGGGAAGCTTTTAGTTCTTAAGTAAAACCGACAGACAAAGGAGGTCAGTAAGAACACTTAGTGTAGTCATTTCCTCAAGTCCAAGTGTGAGGAAGTTGTCTTGCATTTGACTACGTCTGTTTTTTGAAACAGCTTTTCTCTTTTAACTCCATTGTATTTATCAGGTACACAAGTCAGTGCTTAATTTAAATTAGTTTAAACTACAGTACAGTACATAGTGTACTTCCCACTATTTTAATCCACAGGTACATTTGATTAATATTACTACCTTTCTTTTAAACAAGTACTATTCAGTTGTAGTACCGGCACATTTGATGTAGAATTCTTGTGGAATTCTTTTATTGAGCTGGTGTACTGCAGGGGCAAGTGTGAAATATGAGATTTGGCTTTTCACTCAATACTTTCCACGAGTGGGTTGAGTTTCACAAAACTGAGTGATGCTCTACTGTAAGAACCACTGGTTTTGCTGAAAACCACAGAAGCACAAGGATCAGGTTCCCTGCATAAGATGCGGCTGCAGAAACACCGGATAGCATCAACATACACCACTGAACATCAGTTTGAATTTGCACTGTCATGGTCAGCAAACCAAATCTGCTGTTCTGTCAAACGGCCACCAGGGAGCAGTATTGGCCTCTATTTGACTTCTCAGTCCTGTGCAGAAAAATAAGAGATGGCGCTTTGTTGCTCTGGGCTGAGACTCCCAGGCTTTGTGTTACCTTTAATAGCTTCTGCCTGTCAAATGTTGTATATTAAACATGTTTAAGATTCAGACTGGGGTTAAGCAATCAAAGGAAGGCAAGATTTTGGTGAAGCCTGGGAGAAACATTCGCCCAGGAGGTGACACTCAGGGCAAAAAGTGCAGTTAATAGAAGAAAAATTAGCCTGACCACAAACAAACAAACAAACAAACAAACAAAAAACACACGTATTGACTAATGCCTCACTGTGTATTCATGGTTGGCGTGCGGTAAGACGTGTTTTTGAGGTACTGGTAGAAAAGATTTGTTCCATGGTCAGCTTTTGGAGCCTGGACGTAACGCCTGAGTTTTTGACCCAAAAAACCACACACAAACAGGCCTGTGTGATGTTGCGTAATGAGACGATGCTTTACAGTTTGTTAAAGGAATAAAGACTCACACAATGCAGCCAATGCATTTTTACTGTATTACTGAATAAAATCTATAAAATATTCCACAAAAATACAATACATTATTAATTATCATCTCATTATCCAGCAACCTCATCCTTCACTTACACATTTACATCAGCATCAACCACATACAGTTTGTGCTTTACTATGGACACTGCACTTTCATACAATTATAAATAACACTGTAGCTCTCTGTTCATTATTTTCAGTCCCATCAGATGGATTATGTACATGAGAAAACAAACAAGTGGGTTTATTTCACAGGCTGAAATCCAGATGATTCGCACTGTACTACAGTTCGGTGCCATGGAGCCAAAACAAGTTGTTGTTGAAGCAGCAGTGCGCTCCTCATACATCTCATGTGATTGGTCCATGGTCTGAGTCTGGGCAAAACAAGCTCACAGCCCCTCCTACTGAACAAGTGACGCAAGCTGCCTAATCCCACCCCTCCTCCTCCTCCTCGTCCTCCTCGTCCTCCTCTTATTTTCCCCACTGGCCCTCACTGCCACCTCCTCTGTCAGCTAGTTAGTTCACTGTCAGCCTGTCAGGATACATTAAACTCATTTTTTGCCAGTAGTGTTCACCGAGTGTAGAAAAAGACCAAGAAGAGGGTAAGAAATGATGATGGTTCTGGCTTTGAGTGCTTTACAAAACACTCCACCACAGTAGGGTTTTTAATCAATGAAGCTCAGACAGCCAGAAAAACCTCAACACAAATGAAAATTAGGTTCAGTAGTAAGGCATGCTGTCGACATGAGACAAGAGATAGAGATGAGGATGGATTACTTTGGTCTGACAGGGAAGCATTGGAGTTGTAGCCAAGAACAAAGTATGAAATAAACAACACTAAGTGATTTCTATCAGTGACAGACAGTCCATGGCTTTGGGTGTGAAACAGGAGTGTCCAGGTAAATTGACTACAAACAGATGTCAGGAGGTAGAACAGGAGTAAACCACAGATAGTGAAGGTCAAGCATCTGATTCGTCATGACCTTTCACTCACTGTATCTCTTCTACTGGACAGGAGATTAGAGTTTCAGATAGAAACACATATAAAACTGGTAAAAATAATAAAAACCTACACCATCAATGCCATAAAAATACATAGGCTTCTGCTGTCATTTACAATTTTCAGACATGGTAAAGTTGCCCTGATGGCTGACTTGAAGCAAACAGCTCAGTCAGAATCAGACTACATTACTATTTAAAGTATGTTTTAACTGCATTCACAACATGTTGGATTTACCATAAATAAGCTGCCGAAGAGGAAAAACTGTTGAAATCATCCTCGTGGTGAAAGGACGAGTATTATTTGTTGTACAGGCTCTGATAGTTTGTCCCATTTGGTGTCACAAATGGTGCAAAAGGGTTGACATGGTAGCCAGTACACTGACAGTCTAAAATGAATCTAAATTATAAGTCACACACACAAAAATAATAGTCTCTATGTAGAAGCACACGTAATATCTGCTGCAGTCTGAGGCTGATTTTTCTTTCATAAATAAAAATAACATTAGATAAAGGCGTTCCAACTAATTAAACAACTAATTAGCATCCCATTTTCCCCACTTCCTTTGATATGATCTCCGGGGACTGGAAGCTTACGTCCTTTGCTGGTAAACCCCCACACTCAATGGCCACATCCTCCGTTTCAGCAGCCACACTGACATGTCGCAGGTCCGGCGACTGCTGGACGACCACCTCAGCCACACAGACTTTTGGCTGATGTCAGTTTCTAATTTAAACATCCTACGTGGTGTCATAAAAACCATGCAGTCCTAATACTGAAAGGAAAGCCAGGCCTTTGCCCTCCTGGCTAGCTGAAGCGCCCTCTCTTAAGTAATTGAAGAGATTTCAATTAATAATAAACCCAGGTCTGATCTAACAGACTGAGTGACACACAAACTGTGACAGCTCAGGTTCCTTCTTCCTGAGCAGTGGATGCTGTTGCTGCTTTTTCTAAAAACTTGTTAAAACAGGAGAGAAAAGTGGCATAAACACTTCAGGCTGGAAATGTAAGGTTCCATCTGCATTTACAGTTTTACTGAATTAAGGACAACCCACCACAGATGCTCTTACACTGATCTGTGGCATCTGTGATGTCCCGTCTGTTACAACACTTCTCTTACAAGTGCTGCAATACTCTTCATTTAGACATGCCTGCCTCTTCAGCTGCTACAGGTTATTCACAAATCTCATAAAGGAAAGTTACCTGATCTGTTAAAATGGGTCTTTCTGTCCCAGCTAAAATGTACTTCTGCTAAATGTACATCCACTGTCATATTTGATTGCTGTAAAGTTGTAATTAACCGATATGTTCGTCGATTAATCTGCCAGGCATTTATTTCCCCAATTAACTGATTAACTGTTTGACCTATGAAATGTCACAAATTAGTAAAGAGAATTTTCCAGAGGCCAAGGTGACCTCTTCAGCTTGACCGGCAGTCCAAAACCCAGTTTGCATTTTAGCTTGATGAATAACTTTTATAATTAATCAATTATCAAAATTATTGCCTGTCTGGTCAGTTATCCAGTGGAGTGCTAACCAGCAGCACAGTGCTAAAGTGTTTTAAAGTGGAACATGATCATTTTAAACTGCATTCTTCTTCTAATAAATATTTCATTTCTCATTTGAGGCACAAACTGGTGAACAGACTGTACATAAGATGCTGGATGGTTCCTTATAAATGAATTGCATGCAAGAATTAATGTTGTTTTCTACCTAAAACTCACTTTAAGCAGGATTAAAACAGATTTTCAACCAGAATGTCAGATGGAGCCTTAAAATATCCAAGGTCACGTTCAAGTTCATCGACCCTCAAATCAGTCTTGGTTCCACAGTTCCACTTTTAGTGTCCTCAGCCAGGGCAGGTGCTATCAGACTCTAAATTCTTGATCAGCCAAGTGCAGTACAAGTTCAGAAAGGTTCCTGTTGGTAATCAGGACTTTACCAGAATCTCCATGATGTGGTCCAACTCATTCAGATCCATTAGACAGGATTGGAGACTTCCAGGTGAGCCATGGCTAGGAGTGCGCATTTTCACATCCTCATCTTCCCAGAGCGACACACTGACTGGCCACACAGGGCCTGACACCCAGGCAGAAGGCAGGTCTGAAGTCTCGTACATCGAAGTATCAATGTCCTCAAAGATGTCATCCAGGGCGAGGTCGCTGAGGTAGCCCATGGCGTTTACTGCATCACTAAAAGCATTGTTTGTCACAGCAGGAGGCGATTTCTGCTGATCAGGCAAACCGCTGGCCTCCTGGGAGGGGATTTCAGGGGACAGCGGTGGAGACTTAGACACGTCGCCTTCTGTACACCCAGGGCATGTTATTGACATGTCCTCCCTGAAGTCGTCCCTGAGAAGACAGGAGTCAGGCTGCACGCCGCTGAGCAGTATGTCCGTTGTGCAGGTTATCGCCCTGTCACGCCGCATGTCCTCTTGGATCTGCCTGAGTGTGTTGATGAGCAGCACGGACCGTCGAAGGCTCAGCTCCATCCCAACCTGATAGCGCTGGAGCTTCTCCAAGCAGAGGCCAAGCACAAGCTGACGCTGCTGCCGGTGGCTCATGTCAGATTTGGGTGGACCCACAAGGAGCCCGCCCTGCTCCACCCTGTCCTCCTCCCCATTCTGCTCCTTCTCCTCTGCCACAGCAGCAGGTACCACCTCGGCCTCCAGCTCCTCCAGGCAGCTCCACTTCCGCTTCACGCCACGACCCAACATCGACCTAGATCAATGGGAAAACAGACCACCAGTTACAACGTGCTAGAGTAAAGCATTTAATCAATATGCTTTTTGAAGACAATAGCTGTAGTGCAGCTGATATCAACATCGCAAAACTGCAATTTCTCAGACTGGAAAATGATCTAAAAAACTTCTATTAATTTAGTGACTTAAATAGTAGGGAAACTAGTAGGGAGACATTTTACTGCCTTTTATCAAAAAATCAGCTACTGAAGCCAAAAAAAAAAAGTCTGAGACACTGTGGCTGCAACTAACAATGATTTTTATTAGCGACTATAACTGGCAATTCTTGGTAAATAGTTTGTTTTGTATGATGAAATATGTATGTACATATACTGTAGAGCTGCAATTACTCTACTGACATAATTAATCAGGCTCTTCTAACAATGTTCAATCATTTTAGTCACAGACAACATTTGATGGGCAAAGCATCTTAAATGTGATCATTTGAAACTTATCTTTGTCATATTTAACTATAGACTGAATACTTGACCACTGACCACTGACCACTGTACTTTTAGGCTGCTGGGTAAAAAACAAACAAAACAACTAAATACATCATCTGTGGCTTTGAGAAATTAAAGGACCTTTCACAATTTTCTGACATGTGATAGACAGACCAATGAATCAGGAAAATCATAGGTAGATTCATAAAAATAAAGATAATAAAAATAATTGTTAATTGCAGTCCTAATATATGTATGAAAATTGTGTTATCGTCTATTTATAATTACGCACTGGGAGACTAACCTTGAGCTAAAAGAGATACAAATAAACTAATTAAGAAATAGAAAAAGACAACCGAAGGATTTTGCCCGTTTTGCTTAAATATTATTTAAAAGCAATGAAACTGATAATCATATTTGGTGCAGATTAATTTCTGTAGCTGAGTTAATCAACTTCAACTCTGGCAAACAGACACAAGAAAAGTCTCTGACAGATACTTTCTGTCTGCTCAGTCGACAGAAAGTGAGACAACAACTTTGACAGCAGTGACAGAGAGCAGGTGATTCATTTTGGGGAACACTGAGAGACACATGGCTGATCACACCAGGTTGCCCTGGCTGTAATAAACCTTGCATCCAGTTTATGTAAGAGCACCAACCTAGTAAACCAGGCTAGTTTCCCATTAAATTGCACTTCAGGAGCTCAAAAAATAAGTAGTGACAAAAAAAACCAACTGCATACAAACAGTGAGCAAACATGCACAAGTTAAAGGGTGTATGTGTGAGTTTTCCATTAAAGACACTTGAAAAGTGACTCACTGTTAAGACACCCATGCAGACTAAGAGACTTAACTCATCCTCACAGACTTAGATTGTTACCTGTGGGTCACAGTCTCAAAGGTGTTCCCTAATAAACTGGCACACATGAAGCCCCTTTTGATGAGTCCTTGACCCCCATCTGAGGGGATTAAAGCTCCTGGGTTTGATTTCATATAATATGATGTCAAATCTATGACTAAAACACTTATTCCTACTATTTTCTCTCTTGAAACTAGTAAAATAAGAAAGTAATATCATTCTATCCTACTTATTTTGCCCAGGACCCTCAAGAACACCCCTAAAAGCCCATTAACGATTCCGGACTTCAGTAGAAAAAGACAGGCTCCGTTTTAACCAAGATGAAATGGGAAATTTTGCCGAATTAAAGTGACTGTTAAAAAATAGAATTAAACAACCTTACGTGCCCTTGGAAAGTTTCATGAGGTGTGTGAATCCGCCAAGTCTTCGCTGGTTTCGTTTGGTCACCGCGAACCTCTGCTATCGAGCCCAGGAATATGAGGAATGTACAGTCCGTTCACAGCAGTGGGGGGAGGAGGCGGAGCGGGTCCGTTCACCCGCCGATCAACCCTCCACCTCCGCCTCTCACGGGGCAGCAAATGTGCGGCCCCTTGTTCCGGCTGCGAGCTGCTGCGGCGTTCAGGTGCAATCTGTCGACCATGTAAAATATGATGTGAAGATTAAATAACTATAATAAAGATGTGACACAAATATAGTGTATTAAAAGGTACAATATCTAGCAGTGACATGTAATAAAGTAAAGATATAATAATGGAAATATTGAAGTAAAGTACCCCAAAACCTAAAAGCCTTTTGACAAGAAAACTGGCTTATTATAACCAGGCTAATGTTGTCCCAGAATGTACTGATAAGAGAGAAGATTCCTAATGATAATACTGGGGACGGTTGTTGCTTATGATACCTAAGAATAAATGTAGCATGAGCAGATAACATTACTCCACTTCTTTTATATTATTTTTTACTGAAAAACAGGAATTTTATGGCTTATAACCAGGTTTTTAGGTGCCAGGTAACTGAAACAGTTGTCAAATTGTCATGTGAGTTTGAACATAACAGGAGGCCCAAGTGGAACACGAAGAAATTCTTATGTTTTTCTACAGGTCTTTAAAACAAGCAAATATCTACATATCACTGTTAGAAATATCTAGAAGTTCTATGAGGCTGCAGCGAGCACCTGAATGCACCATTTTAAAGGGACAGATGACGCATAAGGGGAGATTGAGGACGTGACCGGAAGAATAGGGAAGGCAAAACACCAAATAAGGAAACTCTTAAGTCACGTTTTTCTGACTCTTCTTCCTGAATCTGTCGCAGCCAAATTTTTACTTCTTCTTTCCTCTTTTTCTGAACTACAGAATTATTGTAATAATTATTTGCCGACTTTCATTTTGTGGTGTCTCGGTGACACAACTGCACAGCCATTAAAGTCCACCTTAAAATTTCGAAATGTTGATTTGCCAGTGAGCTTTTTAAATATGATATTAATTCTAAAAGATATAACACGCACATGAAAAACTACAATATCTAATAAGTAAACAATAACCTGCAGAGCATGCAGAGGAACAAGAGGAAAACATAAAGGGGTTAGTTATCAGTGGGTTGTTGAAAAATAACAATCTCTGACAAACACAGAATTGAATTATTTATGGGCTCTGTTTGTTATTATTTCCACCCAAAAATTCTACTTAAATTTGTAAGAAATGACTTCAAAGCCCATGCTTATGAGAGGCACCTGAAGCCAGCATGATTAGCCTATGGTCCGTTGGCAATTAACCTTGAACTCACTCAGGTTTTTAAAGGTGTTGCAGTCTTCTGACTGCAGATGACACAGTATTAGTATTGCATTCTACTGTACATTGTATAATACTACACATCAAATATTAGTATTAAATGTACAGTATGGTATATGTTACATTAAGGGTCACGATTGCTACTAGACCAGACATGTCAGAAGTGAAGAAACTTGAGTCTTAGCACATGGTGTCAATTATTGTGCATCTCAGAAACACTACACAGATTTTCTGCATCACAATAATTGTATTTTATGTGTTGCTGCTATAACACTAACACTGTAGTCCCTTTTTGTGATGATTCGCTTTTTCCTCAGGCTTCCTTTTTGCTGAGTCACAGAGAGGCCATTAATCTTTAACTATAGGCTAACCAAGACTAGGAGGGAAGCAAACATGCAGCGTAAGCAAGAATTTTATAAATACCTTCTGACAGTTTCAGACAAGGGTTTATTTAACTACTACATATAAATATGAACAGACTCTCTTCAGTCAATCGAATAATGTCCATTAACACAGAAGATGCCACATGGGTTTGGTGTCATTTTCCTCTGAGCTGGTTGGCTGTATTCATGCCCTGAGCTGCAAGCAGACAATAGTCCTGTTCTGCTGAATCCATTCTAACTGCGTCTCCTCGTATCTAATGTAGTGACACATTCATCATCATGTGAGAGCATGTGAGGACAAAGGTCCCACTGCAGCCAATCTGAAACCAGGTCACATGAAACTAGCATACAGGAAGAACATACTGTATACTGAATTAAGGAAGTACTCACTTGCTTTGTGCACACTTTGTGTACTTTGTGTTGTAGTTTAAATTGGAGATAGATAAAACTGCCATTTTGCCCATCATCACGCAGTAACCCCTTAATCGCAAATTGAAAACATTTTAGATTTTTGGTAAATGTATTAAATGTCAGATACTGAAATTTCTCATACACAAATTCATTGAGAACATTTACTGTGCTAGTCAAAATTGTGTACATGTTTATACTGTTTGCTTAACTCCACCAAGGAGGTTTTGTTTTTGATTCCGTGTGTGTGTGTTGGTTAGCAGGATTATGGACAAATGGCTGGATGGATCATCAGCATACTTGGTACAGACATCGGGCCAAACCTAGAAGTGATTAGATTTTTGCCTGAAAAGGTCAAAGGTTAGGGTCACAAAAAATTAAAACAAAAAAAAATCACACCAAAATTTCCACCATTAACACATGACAAAATAAAAAAAAAAAAAATCATATCTTGGTCAGAAGTTATCAAAATGACATGTTTGAAATTTGACACACATTTGTAAGGTGACAGTGTCCATCACCAGACCAAATTTCATTCGGATCTCATCAGGATTCCGGTTTGGCTGGCCATTTCAAACCAACGTTGAAAACCCATTTAACTCATATTTTCTGCCCTAACTTGGCCCATAGTGAAGACAGAACCACGAATGTTCCAGTAAGATGCACAGTATAACTGCCTATCATACTCTAAAAGATGATCCAGATCTGATCCGAATCAAGGATTTTTGGACATTTTGTGTTCTGGATCTCATCTTTCACAAGAGATCCCCTTGCGTGAGTGAATGTTGCACTTTGGCGGAGGTACATACGCTCTCCAGGTGCTCCTGTTGTCCTTGAGATATCTAGAACCTGACTGAAGTCCACCCTTGGCAAAATGAATTTACTGGAGGATCTGACTAATGAAATTCTCTCTAGCCCTCAGTGATAAAATTGTGGCCGAGCACAGATCAGAACAAGCCATTTTCAAAGCCCTGAGTGTTCCCATGTTCTCAGGGATGAGACCAACAGTCCCTCTAACAGAGCTTTAAAAGTCCTCTGCAGAGATAGAGAAGCTGCTGGAAAGACGACCATCTCAGCAGCTCTCCATCACTCAGGCCTTTATGGTACAATGGGTGGACAGAAGACATGGAGTACAAGACAGATGACAGCTGCTTGGAGTTTGTCAAACAGCATTTAGAGGACTCAAAGCAGGAGGAAGAAGATTCTCTGGCCCGAGGAGACAACGAAGCCAAAACATAGAGAGGTCCTTGAAGAAAACCCGAGTCTGAGGCAATGGTTCAGATTTCAGCACCACGGTGACCCGAAGTGTACTGCCAAGTCAGCACTGGAATGGCTTGTATATTCTTATATTATTGCAACCTGTTTTGTAATATTTGTCTTTAGTATAAATGAATGGGCTTGTGGCAGAGTGCCACAGATGGCTGAGCAGGTTGAAATGTTCAGAAGACTGTAGTTTAGCTTTTTTCTATGGGTGCTGTTGACACATAAGGCTGCTCGTATACATTTGTATAACAAAAGCAGGCAACAACAAACAAAAAGAACTCATTCATTGTAGAGGAAACCGTTTTTGCCTACAAGTAAAATAAGTCATTCAGCCCACAACACGCACAATCAATAGTTGCACCTTTTATTATAAAAAATATTTACAAAGATGCTACAATGTTTTTCCTTAATATAAAAAAATGCATACATTTTACAACGGTCATTAGTCTTTGAGTTCTAGCTCCCATTCACACCAGAGTGACATCCTTCAGGAGTGTTGTGGTAAGGTATTAAGCGTGTCGTAATACTGTATTTTTAGTCAATACATCTTGTTTGCCTGAGTTAATCTCTTCATCATTGTTAAGTAACAAGTTTGAAAAATGCTTTTGATTTTCCGTATCTTCAGGAGAAAGGCAACTGTTTGCATAAAGGAATTAAAGGACATTTGAGTTGAATACAATCATTTTGAAACATGTATGACAGAGCTGCATAGTAACCGGGTTATTATTACTACTAATTTTAATAAAACGTGAGGAATAAATAGGTACTGCATTCAAAACAGAGGGCAAAATTTGGCTAAATATTTCATCGGGCCTCATGGTTGATTTGTTAAGTCAGTATGGCATGTCTGTACCTGGATATAATAAATACAATAAATAAAAACAATAAATTAGATGGGTTGACATACATTATTCTTCATTTGTAGTTCTAACAAATGAGAGAAAGAAATATGGCTTCTTGATGCAGTTATCACCCCGGGGTTTCTCCGAATGCGTCAGGAAAAAGCTGCTATTATTATTAGATCAGTAAAGCAGGGCAGGAAACTTACTTCACTTCATCCACTGGCTACTGTAAACTTACCAGAAATGGACAGACCTTAGTGAGAGTTTGGATGGTGGCTGGCTGTAACTTCCCTGCCTTGCATAAAGCTTTAGAGAAAATGAAAGAACAGCGCCTAGAAATGTGTGACGATGCCAGTCCTGACACCGGTGGTTACAGTCGACTTGTTATACCAAACCATGGGAAGACACTGTCTCGCGTCTGGCTACATTAAAATCTTAAAAACTGCTTGGGAGGAAAAAACAATAATATCAAATGATATTTGCAAAATCCCCCAGCTGTATAATGCAAAAAATATATTTCTATATACACATACATACATCTACATATATTCCATTCATAATTGCTCAAATCTTTAGGAAAATATGCATTAATTCATAGATTTGGATTTACAATTTGTTCTGGTCTCTGATGCATGTAGTGTGATGAATTGTTCCTCAGTCCAGGTAACAATAAATAGAAATGGACAAAATAGCAGAGAGTACGATCAGAAGGAGCTAGTATGCCAGAATGTATGACAGGCGTAAACATGGAAAGTAGGTAAATAAGAATGGATCATGGTATAGGTAATTATTTTTGCCTTCTCACAGATACCGTCGAGGTTTGGGTATCATCACCAAAGTAGAAAAGTAACCGACAGGCCAGGGTCGCTTGTGAATCTTAAAATGTATTTCACCCTAACAACTTAAACTGCCAATTACAGTTTTGAATAAAAGGATGAAGGTCCCAAAAGCAGCTGCCAACTTGCCCAAGTAGCTGTGAGAGTAGACTAACAACATCCCTAACAGCCAATTTCAAAATCTACTTGGCTTGCTGTTAATTTCCCACCTTGTCCCCAAACCTCCAACAATCTCCATGTATACAATACCACATACAGAACATGCACATGTACTGTGCATAGCCTGGAAAGAGCCTGTGGGATCAGTACAGGCTGGAGAAAGGTTCTGTGTTTCAGGATCCCACTATGATTTCCATGATGTGGTCCAGTTCATTCAGGTCTGACCTGCAGCTTGAGCTGGAGCTCAGGGCTGTGGGCCCGTGAGAAGAAAGGCTCTCCAGCAAATCGTAAGGCCCCATCTTGGGGGCGCTCTGCATGCCTGTCAGCACTGTGTCAAGGTCGTAGTAGGACGGGTCCACATCTGAAAACAGTTCCTCCAGTGCAGGGTCAGGGGGTGGTGCTGGGTGCTTGATCTCAAAAGTCCCAAAAACCTGCTCTCCTGTCCTGGAGTCTGCACGCATGTGGTCCCGATCTCCGTCCTCTCCCTCCGACACACATACCTCGCTGTCCTCCTCTTCATCCTCCTCACACTCGCCATCTTCCTCTTCCTCCTCCCAGCAGGGCCCCATGCCAAAGGGGCCTGTCAGGTATGAAGAGGAGGACAGCTGTGGGGAGACCGGTGACAAAGTGGACATGTTGACCTCTGTCCCCACATCTCCCTCCATCACCACCTCCTCAGAGTGGTAGCCTTCGTCCAAGCCAACCACTGAGAAGGGCTTTGAGCTCTGCCCGGCTTGAGCTGCTGCATCTGTCTGCCGGCACAGCACCTCCGTGGCCACCAGGCGGTCACTGGGACACTGGGCGGCTGCCAGGGCCTGGGTCATTATCTGCCAGGTGCCGTCCTGGGTCATCTCCTCCTGGATCTGCCGCACCGTGTTAGCAATGAGCACTGAGCGACACAGGTTGGGCTCCACCAGCATGTGGCAGAGCTGCAGCTTAATCAGCGACATGTCGAGCAGCGACTGCCGCTGCAAACTATAAGAAGATGACAGCGTCCGAGCTGCCATGGATGAAGCTACCTGGCCCTGGTCACCACTGGAGACCGGCTCCTCCCCAGAGTCTGAAAACTTGCGCTTGGTGCCCTTCGGGAACATGTTGTCTCTCTGGTGATTGTGAAGAGACAGAGACACGGTCAGACACCCAGTGGAAACATTTATCTGATCAAATTTATCACAATGACAAACACACAAAATGCCTACTGTTCTGAATTGCACTAGCTAAGATTATAGTGAAAAAAATTGTGCAGTGTGTAATTAATTATGTAAAAGGTGTGATGTAATGAGGCTATGTGGTGTAATATGTGTGTATGGACATGAGGGAGCTAGAGCTACACTCTGCTGAGCAGCAGCTGTGACAAATAATTTCTACTAACTCTTTGTGAACTACAATAAGCAGTTAATTGTTTGTTGTAGGTTTTTTCTTAAAGTTTGCTATACCTTTCCTGTTGAGAGGCACAGGCAATAGCAATGCAGCTTGGTCCCGGCTGCAACGCTTCAAGTACTTTTGTACGAGCGACAAGCAGCTTTTGTTCAGCACCATTTCTGCCCATTTTAGGCCAGTCTGAGGCAAGACTCCTGCTGGGCGGAACAACCACACTTTTAACAGACCACTGAGCCACCGAAAATAGCATGGTTTCCAACTAAATGCAGACGCTGCATCAAAGTAAGCACAGTCTGGAGAGACTTTTGTCAGAAAACAAAAACAGCACTCAAGTTACATGATCAGTGCACTTAGTCTTTCCCACAGCCACCTGTGATCAAGAAAATCAAAAAAAGATATCCTAATCAAAAAGGTGTTTTTAAGGAGTAAAAAATGGTAAGTGTATGAAAAATAATAGCATTTACAATATTCACAGTGTACCACCACGAACCACTAATATTTACAAGGGATATCAGGTTTCCAGGTCTATACACACCACAGTTCAAAACTAGTAGAACAAGATTTTCACTTTCTCTTCACTGAGGAGAGGAAGAAAAGTCAACTTCCTTTTTATACACCACTTTGAACACAGATGTCTTACAGGAACAGGGCAACACTCCTGCCAATAGTAAAGGCCCTCCAACTCCCAAAATAAATGGGCTGCAAGAAAATAGGAGACTGAGCGCTGAACAGCAGCCTGTGGCATTTAATTTTGCACCGGACAAAAAAAATTGTGCGCAGTGTCCAGCTGTGTCTCCCATGTGTAAGACCTGTGGGCAGGGCATTTGGGCGTGTGAGTGCACTTGCTTCAAATTTCTATGTGTGACACTGTAAAACATTATCACAATGGTGGAATGAAAATATTTATACACGTTGGACTCAGCACAGCATTAGACAAAACTCAAACAGCAAAGAGTTGTTAACAATTTTACAAAAACCTGTGCACTTCACTGTGGAAACGGGTCACTGCTGCTGTTATCACAGCAACACGAATTTCTGTTTTTTTACAACTTCCATCTTACAATGCCAGGCAAAACCAAGACCCTGTCATCTGTGCTAATTAAACCATTTTACAGTTAACACAGTGTAAACTCAGGGATGTAAAGCAGGATTTTAGAGCCAAAAAGTGGGATGGCAAACACCATATAATTTAACATTTTATCAAGATATAATCAAGTTCAAAATAAAAAAAAAAGACTGATTTCTAATTTGTTAAGAACTGATTGCAAAGTTCTTTACTTCTCCTTTCAACAAAGGGAGTTCTTGAGCTTCTTGAAAGATTAATTTACAGCTACTGCCATCACCTGATTGATCAGATGAGGCAACTAAATCAGCACCATATGTTACAAAATTACAATCCATACCAAAAAAAGAAGCGGGTCTAATGTACCCTGAATGCTGGAGGTCTTTGAGTCCTCGCTCGCATAGAGTAACATTTCCTGACAGTGGACAGAATCAGAGAGAAAAAAAAAGTCATTTATGATGGTGCCCGGAGATCTAAAATACAAAGGGTGAGAAAACAATTATGGACGCATGTTGTCTTCTTGTGTGGTGCATTTGTGCTGGCCCCTGTTAAACAAGAGACACTAGAGAGCACTATCTCCCTAAAGGAAAGACAACAACAGTGTGTAAAAATTTGAAATAGAAAAATGAAACACAACCAGTAAGATCTACAAACTGAGAGAAAGCACATTGCACAAGAAAAACAGTTTTAGACATGACAAATATAGATACATATTGTTTTTGAACACCCTATACTTTAGCATTTTGTGGTTAAATCTCAAGGATTCTAATTAAAAATATTTACAAAGCGAGGGTCTTTTTCCTAAATAAAAAAAAAAAGAGCCAAAGTGATTTATATCATGATCACTCTGATCAGGCACCTGTAGCAGCCAAAACAATATTACATGCTACAGTTAACAAACGTTGTAGGCACTGCATTTTTCACATACTGTGGGTCTGTCAGACCCTGCAGATGTCAGACCTGGTTACAATAAACAAAAATCTCTGATACTAATTATTCTAAATTACTGACTATCACTTAATTTAAATATCTTCTGGAGATGAAACATCAGAAAATAATATTAATAAATACGGTCCTTGGGCAAGACACTGAACCCCCCCCAAGTTGCTCGTGATGGTGGTGCATATGTATGCAGCGGCCCGGGCCCCTTGGCTCCAAACAACATTTCCTTGTACGTGTCACAATTTTGCAATGACAATAAAATAAAGTAGAAGCTAGAAGAAGAAGCTTTAATAAGCAAGTAATAGTTTAAATTTCTCAAGTAAAAATACTGAAAAAGGTCACTCTTGCTCTACTATTAGCTTGTCAAATGTGAGGATTTGCTACATTTCTGTGTTTTATGTCACTGTAAAAACTATATTTTTGGGTTGTGGGATGTTTGTTGGGCATGAGACATTTGGAGGAAATTACCTTGGTCTCTCAGATGTTACAATGGTTTTTTTTTTTTTTTACTATTTGTTGACATGTAATACATGATAATCTGAAAATAATCATCAGATTAATTTATGTTTCCTGTTCAGAGTAATTCCCAGAATGTCCCCAAAACCAAAACTGATGAACACAATGACATTGACACTTAACAACTTTTGAAAGTGCATCCGGCTATAGCTACACCAAAAAACAGAAAAGTGAACTGAACTCGGTTTCAAATTTTAAACATGATAAAACTTAACTGTACTATGGTATTGTGTTTTTCTGTGTACCTATTATTGAGAGTGGGAACAATAAAATCAGCATTCATTGTCAGCCCTGTCATTTAAACCTCAACACGGGGCTTTACGGTAAATGTAGTCACACAGTTTTGATAAGATTTAACATGAAAATGCTGACATATATGGTGTTCAAAAACGCCTGTCTAGCAGGCATCAGGAAATGAGTAATCAAGTGCAAAAAAAAATGTATCACGTTAGAATCACTTAAACAGTACTTGAGTCAGATATTAGTCTTACACAAATATGTGTAAATGTCTGTCAGACAGCGCTTTAAATACAGCATTCGGTATAAAACATGACTTCTGAACTGAGCGCCTGTCTATGCTAGGAGCCAGAAACCAAACAAAATGCTGCCTCGCTTTACGTCAATGGCTCCTAGCATTACCCATCCCCCACGGTATGAAAACCCACCACTTTCACAGCTCGTCGTACTAAATGAATAAATAAACGTAAAACACGGTGACTTTAATTGTCACGTTTCTCCATAAACGACACGATTTAACCACCATTAGCCGATGACTAAGAGCCATTTGAGCCGCTGTTTAGAGCGACACGGAGCTGCTGGCCGTGACTGCCGCATGCTTTGTCTTTTCAGCAGCATCGCTGCCGAGTGACGAGGCCATTTTGCTCTAGTAGCTAACAGCTAGCCGGCTATCCGCGCTACAGCTGCCGCTAGCTGGGCTAAAGATACTGGTTAACCGAAACAGAAAACGGTGCTACCGCGGAGAGACAAAACGCTTGGCATTCCTCTCCGTTTGGCCTTTTTATGGTAATTTCCTCTTGGTCACAAAAAAATGAAAGCTAGCAACCTAATTAGCCAAAAGCGCCCACCCACCACCACCACCCATTCTCCGCGGTCCTTCCTCCTTTCTAGCCAAAAACAAGAGTTTTCGCCGCGGCCGGGCGATTAAGGTCCTAAAAACAACAAACGACCACGCGGGAGCCCGGTAAAAACGACTATCGCCGGGCGGATCTGTGGCCGTACTCACCTCGTGTTTGTGTTATTTTATTCCCGTCTCGGTCATAGGATCGACGGCAGGGAGAGCGGAGATCAGGTTCAGATGAGATCATTCATGCCACGGCTTCAAAAACTGAACTACCTCTGTCCTGCTGCTGCGGAGCGGACTGTAAGAGGGAAGGAAAGGAGGGGGGAGGGGAGCCGACAGAGCCTGCCGTATGCACGGGATTCCTCTCTGCTCACTTCTGCCTGCCTTTTTCCCCTACTAATACTGCCATTTGACAAACAAGTGAAGCCCTGCCGCTGGCATCCAAAACAATAGATAAAAAGGCAGAGGGTTTTTGGGGGATGTTCGTTTTGCATTCATACTACATTTACATCTACTTACATTACATTACATAGAACAAAGTCAGAGCTACGGGCTTGCTTTGACTGCACAGATTGGAGGTCCACAGACCTGGATGAACTCACTCACACTGTGACATCACACATCAGCTTTTGTGAGGACGTGTGTGTGCCCACTAAGACCATCTGTACATGCAACAAAAGCACAAATCTTACTGGTTCACAGTAAGATTCAGGCAGCTTCATTGTGCCAAAGAGGAGGCCTGCAGGAATGGTGACAGGATCTGTACAGGCAGCCCAGGAACACATTGAGGAGGGAGATCAGAGTAGCAAAGAGGAGCTACTCCAAAAAAGCTGAAAAACCCGTTTTCAGCCAATGGCCCTTCGTCTGTCTGGAGAAGCTGCCCCCCGCTGTGGAAGACCATTAACTGCCTGAAGACCTGCATGTGTTTTACTGTAGCTTTGAGAAACAGAAGTCCACACCCTTTACCAAACTCACCTCGGACCCAGCAGCTGCACTCCCCACAGTCAACTCCCTCCCCCAGCCCCCCTCCCCGAAGGTCTGTGAAAAGGGTGTGCATGGCCTTTGTAGAAAACAAAAGATCAGGAAGGCACCAAGCCCAGACGGTGTGACCCCCCCCCTCCTGCCTGAAAGCTTGTGCTGATCAGCTGGCCCCCATCTTCACACAGATCTTCAACAGATCATTGGAGCTGTGTGAAGTCCCCTCCTGCTTCAAACACTCCACTATCACCCCGGTTCCCGAAAAACCCTCCTTCAGTGGACTGAATGAAGTCCTTTGAGAAACTGGTGTTGGCCCATCTAAAGGACATTGTAGACCCCTTGTGTTGCATTACATAGTGAGGTCTAGACCTTACTATTATTATTATTGTTGTTGTTGTCATTGAGAAAACCCTAACAAACCCCCTTAAGAAAGCATTTGGTGACAGTGGGGAGGAAAAACTCCCTTTAATGGAAGAAACCTCTGACAGACCTTTTCACCTCACAGCAAGGATCTTTAATAGTGGGGGCATAAACAAGGTGCAGTCCAAATTCTGCTTAGATTCCATCACACTTCCATAAACCCTGACCAGTAAGAGGCACTAATGCAGCAACAACAACATGATCCTCCACTAACTTCCTACATCTGAATATTGTCAGTATGTTTGCTGTCTTAGACTGCAGTATTAGGGGTATTAGCTGTTTGAAGCTGGACAAAATAGAAATCCTGCATAGTAGAAGAACGTGTTTGCTGTGAGTCATGTAAATGTTTAAGGCATGTCAGGGATGTAACTAACAATTAGCATTAGCATTACCTATTTTTATGAGCTCCTGCTTCAATTCCTGAGCTTTCTGGCCTAGTACACAGTAAATACAGTACTCTAATTCAGGTCATATTTAACATTAGCTGGACCAGATTCAAACTGAGCTTGAGGAACTGGTTTCAAGTGCTTCTTAAAAATGGAATGAGTTGCAAAAAAATTAGAACCTAAAATATTATTTGAAAAAACTGGTATTTGCAATTTCAGTTATAATTGCTTTTATTGGTGTGAAACTAATGTAACTTTCTACTAAACTAATGTTGGGGGGGTGACATGGGGAAAGAGGCAGGGTCCACCCTGGACAGGTCGCCAGTGTATCACAGGGCTGACATGTAGACAAACAGCCCCACACTCACTCCTAGGGGCTATTTAGAGTCGCCAGTCACCCTAAGCTGCATGTCTTTGGACTGTGGGAGGAAGCCAGACTGAAAGCAGCAAATCTTAATTGGGAAACAGAGATCTAGAAAACATTTGTATTTTTGGTTGAGTTTTCTAACTGATTATCAGAATAGATGCTGATTATGATTGTTGATTAATTGATTGCTCAACTAATCTTTTCTGTGTTACATGTCTTTTTTAACAAAGCAGCACTTTGGATCAGAAAATGTGTTTTATCAAAGATATTAGAATTTTTCTCATAGAATACAACATTTGTTTTTAATTAGAGGCATTTAGTTACATGTAACAAGTTACTGCAATTAAATTACAAAAAAGGTAACTGGAATCAGTTACAGGTACTAAGGAAAATATGTAATTAAATTACAATCACTAATCAAAATGTTGGTGATTACATCTGAATATATAACTGCAATTCTGCCACTTTGCATCTTTTGGCATATTTACAGACAATGTAAATATGTTAGGACAAATAACACAATAGAGAGTAGGATGGCTTATAAGGAGCTGTCTCTACATCTAGATAGGCTCCATTCATTTGGCAGCTTGCATTACATTTTGAATGTTGCTTTTGACTGGTTCCTGTTTGACTTTGCACTGCCTCACTGTCTGTCAATCAAATCAATGAGCAGTGCTCCAAGTAACCAGTCTGTCATGTCTGGCTGCAGCCAAAGCAGGTGGTATTTTCCTTGTGAAATCAGAAAAGCAGATTGCTTGGTGCCTGTTCAGTAGGCTACATGTTTCAGCAGTAATATATTGTGCAACTTAAGTTCTGTTGAAGAACCTTTCATAAATGATTGACAGTCATAAGTGTTGAATACTAGTGTGAGGTTTACACTGCCTGGCTTAAATGTATGTTAGGACTTTTCAGCGCTATTGCCCAGAAAAGTAATTAAAAAGTACATTAAAATAATGTCACATTACTTTGATGTAGTAATTAAAATAGTTACACTGCTTATTACAATTTAACGGAGTAACTAGTAATCTGCAACCCATTAAAAGTAACCTTCCCAACACCGCATTTAGTAAATAACACAAAATTAGCTTTTTACCAGATTTCCTTCGTAAGATATTACGTCTGAAATAACGGAATGAACGAACAAAGGGCAGATATCCTTAATTTTTCGTCATGTCAAATGTTCTTCACAATGTTCTTCATTTATTTGTTATCTGCTAAAACATTGTTATAACATTTTCATGTAGAGATGCCAAACGTTTGCTTTCTTCTCTTTTCTCCTTGGTGCGGAACCAGTGTTCAGAGAAACACTTCCGGGAGGGGGACCATTTTACCTCGTTCTACAACGTTCCGTTTCCAGTAATTTCCAAATGCGCTCGGCGAGTAAATGCAGGAGGACCGTTAGTGACAGCGAGTTCCAGCCAGAGGTTTCTAGAAGCAGCGTGTACCGGGATAGTCGCCGGCAGATAGTTCTGCTCACTGCAGAAAACGTTACACATTAAAGTTTTATCATCATTTAGTTGGCTAAATGGCTAAGTGGGGAGAAGGAGACCCTCGCTGGATCGTAGAGGAGAGAGCCGATGCCACTAATGTCAATAACTGGCACTGGTGAGATATGATGAAAGGATATCTGGCTGCTAGCTAGACTGCTAATGCTAACATCACTCATTTAGCTAGCTCACGTTAACAACAAAGTCTAGCTTTTAAATTTTGGATTGTGTTCCCCTGAGCAGATCAGATAGTGTTATTAGATTGTTCCCAACCATAACGTTCAGTGTTAGGTGTGTGTTAGCGAACCAAAGTATCGCATTTGAAATAATTTGCCAAGTTAACCTTTTGATCGTTTTCAGGTTAGCTTCAGTTGTGGCTAGCTACTGTGCCGTCAACTGCATGTATTGAGATTGTTGCCTGCCGGTGTTGATTAACAACGTCGTGGCTTACTGTTTTTGTAACAACGCACGTGTTTCGGTGTATGAACATAGTAGGCAGTCGATTATTATCGTTAGTAGCCTCTCGACTACTCTTGTTACCCCTGCATAAACACGTGAGGTAGCCCCATTGACCATAATTTGTAGCTCGCTAACAAAAATATGGATCCAGACTCTGGTGTTAACATATTTGTCTCTATCTTATAACAAACCAAGTGTTTAAAAAGTGGCTACAAGTATTAGGGTTTCAGCACACATTACAAACTGAATAGTATGTTGTTCACTGGTCTTAACGCCTTAAAAAGCACTGATTACAGTTTCTTCTTAAAGTCAATAATGTCAGTTATAGATGATTTCATATGTGAATTTAACAAAACCTACCTGGGAAATATCCACTTGTCTTCTTACAGACTGTTGATGTTATGTTAATCCCTAAATTGTAAATCCATTTTTAAGATAAATTGGTCACTATTTTACTTCTCAAGTGCCAGTCAGTGAGTTCGTATGCAATTATAAAAAATAGCTTTGTACCTGCTGCCATAAATGATCTTAATAAGAAGTAGCAGTCTTCCAGGTGTCTGGTGTTTCTTGGGGTTTTATGTATTTTTTTTACATGCTAATAAATGTTACTTTTGTTTTGTTGAGGATTGTCACTCTGCTGCAAATGAATGTACCTTTAGTTACCAATAAAGTAACCTGAACCTATTTTGCTGATGTCTGCTAGAAGTTCTGTTCTGATTTATTGAGTGGAGACAACACAAAACTGTATGAAAAACACAGTAACCACAACCCCTCAACAGAATACTGCAAGATTTGAGTTGTGTACCTGTTTGAATCCCCTTTCTCATCACTGTGGTTTTTGTGGGACTTTTCAGGACTGAACGAGATGCAACAAACTGGTCATCAGACAAATTGAAATCCCTGCTCCTTGGGGTGAGCGTGGAGGGGGAAGAGGGGATGTGTGAGGTGACAGAAGTCAGCAAAGTAGAAGGAGAAGCTTCAATTAACAACCGCAAAGGGAAACTTATTTTCTTTTATGAGTGGAACCTGAAAGCTACCTGGACTGGTAAGGAACAGACGGGGGTTTTTGTGTGTTTTGTTTTAGACGGGAGTTTTGTCATTTGTCTGCCGATAGTGGTGGCAGTTTTCATAGCTGAGAATAGTATCACAGCTGATTGAATCGAGGAAGCAAACAGGAAACTAAACTCATTACCTGCCTTCTTCAGGGCTTGTGTTCTTATGTGACCATAGGTTCACTCTTTAAAATAGAAAAGACATGGTTAAAATGCATGAGTATTTAGTACAGGAGAATATCTGATCAAATCTTAGTCATTGACAGAATGAAAGGAAAATATGTGTTTTAAGAAGCTTTGAATTATAGCTGACACACTTAATTTTTTTTATTAGGAAAGTCCAAATCAGGAGTCAAATATAAAGGAACAATTGAAGTTCCAAACCTGTCTGATGAAAACGACATGGAGGATCTTGATGTAAGTTTCACTGAAGAACCAGTGAATAGTGATTTTAATTGACTGGCTGTTGTAGGGATGGAGTGTTGATGCTTGTTGTGTAATCTTTGTCCAGATTACTGTATCACTGAACAAAGATGAACCTGACACACCACTGGCAAACCTGATGAAGACAAAAGGAGCTGAGAAAGTCCGTGAGGCTCTAGGAAGCTATGTGGGGTATTTAAAAACGGGTGCGTGAAACCAGACTCATTGAGATTTTATTACATGTCAAAAGCAGTCAGACAAAGACAGCTGGCTTCCAAACACCAGGGACATTCAAAAGCAGGATAAGCAACCAATGTCTTGTCTTGGTTTTGTATGGATGTACTGGACATACTGGTAATTAATATGATCAGAAAAGTGACCGACTGGGCTGTAATCAGTGTCTCAGTTAGATCACGGTGGTGGGATTTTCTTTATGGTTTATGATGATAAGCCTGTATTGTCCCAAGCTGATCCAAAATATTTTTGCTTAAGTTTTTTTTTTTTTCTCTTTGTAATTGCAGAGTTCACACAGGGAATGATCTTGCCCACAGCCAATGGCGTGGCCAAGCCTCAGTCCACATCACAGTCCAAACCCAAGCAGGAAAAAACTCAGGTTTGTGCTGGTAACAGACAGTCTCGGCTGCATTTTCAGACAGAGCTCTTGTCCCTAAATAATTTACTGTAACAGAAACAACACTTATGAATCCACCCTCTTCTATCACTGTCTTCTTGTGGAGGCTCAGCAGATCTTCCCTCACACTCTTCTTGTTTTGTTGGAACAGATTTCCTCAGGCAGCACAGTGGCTCCAGTCAGCACCGGAGTCAAGATCCCCACCTGTAAATTCAGCATGAAAGAAACGTTCCTCACTTCCCCGGCTGATCTCTACAGGGTCTTCCTCCACCAGGAGGTGAGCTTCAGGTGCTAATTATCAGCATCTGACCCAGTTCTGGCTCCGTTTTCAACAAGTGCTCACTTCATTCTCGCACACAGCTGAAATATTGGGCTTCACAGATGCCCTGTATCACTGTGATTTTTGGCTGATGGAAGTTTGTCTTGTTGATGTGCAGATGGTCCAGGCATTCACACATGCTCCTGCCACTGTGGAAGGAGAGAGGGGCGGAAAGTTTCGTCTGTTAGATGGAAATGTTTTTGGTGAATTCACAGAGCTGGTGAGACTGACTTTCATAGTCATATGTAATGTTTATTAATACTGTAGACACAGAGATTAGTTCATTTTGTTGGCTTTGACTTCAATTTCATGTGCTTTATTCTGCTTAAAATTGAAATGAAAGTACTATTTTCCCACCAGGTAGCTGATGAGAAAATAGTGATGAGGTGGAGGTATAACAACTGGCCCTGTGGTAGGTTTATTTTCTGTTTTTATATTTAAGTCCTTTTCATGTCGAAAGAAGAAAATTGTTTTGATGCTAAGAGCTAACACAACACGTTTAATTTCTAAGCACTAGTTTTGTTTATTTACTTGTGTAATTTATCCAGTAAAAATACACAAAATTTTGCAGTTTATTATTTGCATTGCCTTTTTTATAGATGGAACACAATTTAAACACATCATTTATCATTATTTTGACATTTTATTTACTTTAATTGGACGTCCCTGGTAGGCTAGTGGTTAAGGCGCAGCACTATTGCCGCTGTGGCCCGGGTTCAAGTCAGGGTTGCGTCAGGAAGGGCATCCGGTGTAAAACACGTGCCAAATGACAACATGCGAGTCGTCGGTGTGACGAGTCGCTGTGGCGATCCCTAAACGGGAAAAGCCGAAAGTGACTTTCTATATACTTTAATTTGACAATGATAAACTTTAATATTGTTTGTTAGACGACACATTTTTGCAATTCAGTGGATGGAAAATGAAATGAGAAATTGACTAAAAGACAGGTCATATTAATAATCTGTAATTCCAAAATAGCAAAGTCTAGAATTAATTACTTTAAGCACTGAAATAAAACACGTTCTGTTTTGGGGCTGGGGCTCAGTAGACCCTGCTGGGGGTACTTTACTTCACCTGTCTTTACTAATAAAGTGCACCACGTATTATGGTGCACAACCTCAGACACTGGTTGTTTTTCTGTTCCACAGAGCATTATGCAACAATCACAATGACCTTCTTGGACCGGAGCAACGAGACGGAGCTGAAAGTGGAGTGTCGAGGCGTTCCGACCGATGACGAGGAGCGGACGAAAGAGGGCTGGAAGACATACTACTTCGAGGCTATTAAACAGACTTTTGGCTACGGAGCACGGCTCTTCTGAAGACGGTGTACTGTGGTGTTGTTGCCCTCTTCTGTTTTTGGATATTTAAACCTCTTGTCCTTTGGTCTTTGGCACAGGATGTCCCATCATAAACTCATAGCACGACTTAACGAACCTTACAGTGAAGTAGACAAGGCCAGTCCGTTACCTGTCTGTGTGTTAATGTGTCTGAGCGTATTTAAATCTGTGTTCCCCTTCAGTATTTGGGCCACTTGTTCCAACAAGCGTGAATGGGCTGCGCCTCTGGGACAGGATGGAAAATGGATTGAATTAAGCAAAGAAGAATCTATTCAACCACTAATGCAAATTGGCCTCCACTTCTATAAAGATGTCATTATTGCAAGAGCTAAATGTTTGATTTTGGTTTTATTTGAAAAACAAATGTTGCTTTGGAAATAAACGTTTATTTTGTACTTATTTTACTCTTTTCATGTTAGCTGTAGTGAAGATGCTTTCAGCCAGGATGCATGTTTCATTTCAAACTGTCAAATGGAGGAATGACTACTAGCTAGCTAAACAGTACTGTACTTTCATTCATACTTGATTTTGTATACATCGCAGACTTGTTTGCGATCAAACCAGCTCGCACCTTCAGCAGAAGCATCAACACCGTCTCAGTTCCTTGTGCAGGTATCTAGCATAACAAATCAGGATACATTTTTGCTATGTCTGGCTTTAAAATGTACATTTTCAATTAAAAACAGAAAAACAAAAAATGTCAGAGAAAGTGGTATATTTATTCATAATTTCATCACTTCACAATGGGGGAAAAAAAGTTTCTTGGAATAAACTGATCCAAACAATGCTCTGGATTTGTTTTTATTTGTGAAAACATCTTCACATTTTTCAGTCAGAAAAGTTGAACTTATTTATTTACATGTTATTTATTTTAACATTTCATATGTAAATGTTTTCTGCCTTTAAAACATTAATTTAGAAGTGCTGTAAAATTAAATGCACAAAGCAGAAACCACTATTCAGCAAAAGAAACGGTTTGCTTTTAAAGATCACCGCAGGACACATTCAGATACTTTTACTGGGGCAAAAAAACTAAATAAGCATAATGCTGATTACCTAAAACGATGTGAAGAGCTCATTACTAAATGGAAAATGCACAAAGAAACTTCTCAGTTCAGCTACAAAACAACTTTTAAACATAGAAACCAAGTAAAGGTAAACAAAAATTTCCTAATCTGCAAAGAAAGCAGTGGATTTACTATAAATATTGCACAAATCTGCACAGAGCATTCATGTCCCAAAAAAAACTGTGGTAGAATTGAAGAGTTAGAGTCACATAACAAAACAGTATTGTTGGCCTAATATAGCACATAACTTAAATGCTTTTTCCCAAAACAACTTCTATGCGGATGTCAGCTTTTATCTAGTAAATATCACTTATTTCTGAATAAACACACAAAAAATGTGATGGAAATGAGTGGGAGTTTAAAGTTGTATCTTCTGGTCTGACACTCAGTTATAAGCAGATGTAGAGTTCTGATTCCTGGAAGAAGGAGAAGAAGTGAGTGTTTGCATTGAAACTTTGTGTGATTAATAAAAACTGGTGGCTGAAGATGAAAGTGCCTGTTTTACGTCCTTTATATTAGTCACTGGTAATCTTAGCCTTCCTCAGCTTAAAACAAAATACACCTTTTTATTGCACATGACAGCAGAGGACACACTTCACATGTTTCAACAAATAGTGAAGTTGTCAGCTTGTTTTCAGGGGCGTAATGACGATGTTGTAATTGCCACTGTGCTTCTAACGTGCTCTAATGACAAGTCCTAAAAGACAAAAACAAGCAATGTGCTTTTTTGCATCTATGTATAATATAAAATATAGCTATTTTTTGGTGCAGACTGCCTGCGTTTTCAGTCAGAGGATACATACGCTGGAACTTGAGTCGTTGTCGAGCGAGTCCAGGCTGTGTCGAGGTGCCATTTCTCCCACATTTGCAGTTTTTTTGACAGAAATTTCATGTCGTTTGGTTCTGGAGAAAACATGTAAAATACAGGTTAGACTTGAAACAAAGTGGATAACTGATTAGCAGGAAATTAATCTACTGTTTTTAGATCATCATCATGATCACTTTTCAATCAAAAGTGCCAAACGTTCTGCTTCCAGCTTCTAGAATGTGAGAAACTAATCGATAAATACACAAAGATCCTTTTCAAGCTATAATATAATATAATCATGTGTCCTAAACCGAGGACATGGGGTCAAATGTTTCACCACCATAAACAGTCCGAAGCGATAGCTGTGATAATACTGTAATCGCTGACAGCAAGTGGTCCGGACTATACCTGTATAATGGCCACATGCTGAGGCCTCTGTTGTCCTTCTTGGCTGCCGTAGCTGGGGCCTGCTCCATCACTTCTTTCAAAAAGTGGAAGATCTTCTCTGACTCTATGCACTGTTTCCTAAATAATGACATAACAAGATGAATTTTCCACTTTCAACATTTTTAATATAAACATGATTTAGGTTATCACGTTCTCAAAAACCTGAGTTTACAAAGTCACTTTGTTTTTAGGTTGACTGGTGAATCGAAATTGCCCATAGGAGTGAGTGTGTGTTTTTGTTTGTCTACATATCAGCCCTGTGATAGACTGGCGACTGACAGGGTGGACCCCGCCTCTCGCCACCAGGACTCTTTCTAAAAGGGCCTTGGTCAGGGAGGAGACCAAGAACCCAGTGGTCCTTCTAACAGAGCTTCATAAGGCTTCTGCAGAGATGGAGGCCATCTCAGCAGCTCTCCATCAACCATATCTAAATGGCAGTTCACGCACATTTCTCATCCAACTTTATCCATTTAACACTGAATGTATAATATCTAAATCTACAACAGTTTGCAGCATGAAGGGATCTGAGTACATTTTTATGCTGCATGTAAACTAAACAGACAAACAGAAACATGTCCAGTGTGCTAAAAAGACTAAAAGCTAGTTACTTCTTGAGGGCAAATTTCAAGCAGCTTTAACTTGTGGGGACAAATAGCTGTCATGCTTGAGTGAAGGTGAAACAACGGGCGTACTTACATGTGAGCGACGGACATGACATTGCTGGGCTTCGACTGAGTTATCAGACAGGTTTTGATCAACAGAGACTTCAGGAACATCTCCAGCGCCCGCGCTGATCTCTGCGGTTCAGGGTTTTACAGCTCTATGGTGTCACACTTCACTCTGGTGTCAACACGTCTCTACAGGTCAGCACTTAAAAGTCATTTGTCAACTCTGGACTCTAATGGAAACTTAAATCACTGGTGTCTACACATATTTCACGTTTCCTCCAACGTCACAGCACAGAACAAACTGCATGACCTGCAGGGAAACCTTTGGCACAATGCACCGAATTATTCATGATTGTAGCAGTGTTTTGTTCACTGTCATTTAAAAGCAGCTGTGGTGAGTTTTTTGTGCCACAATGGCCTTTGCCACCTTAACAATGACACACAGTAATTGTGAGTCAAATAAATATAAATTGTGATTTTTTTAAAATAAAAATTGTTAAATGCTGGATAGGACATTTGAAATTTTTAATTTCCAATGCCAGAAACAAACAATTATTAGTATGTTAAACACTAAATACAGCAAAATCCAAAAATATGTCATTTCTCAAATGTTTAAATACAAAGCATTCTCACGGTGCATTTAGTGCCTACTTTCAAAACAATTTTGAATTGTATTATATAAGACATACTGCATGCCCTGTGGTAGAAGGGTTCAGGTACATACAGTAGGTTAGAATTCAATGGATGTCAAACTGGAGGGACTACAACTCCCAGCATGCCTAGCAGTCCTTGAGGAAGAGTTGGAGGAAGACAGAGCAGGACTGCTGCACAAAGTCTTTCTACAGCTGCTTTCTGCAGGGTTAAAGGATACAGATGATCACAGGAACTGCCATCGCAATCCTCCCCACCTGTGTGTCCTTTTGCATGATCTTTTTGATGCGACTCTTTGAGCAAAAACAGACATTTCCAAACTATCATCCACAGAAATAGCATGCCGGCTAAGATGCTGCATTCAGGTGCTCCTGGTTATTAGATCGAACATGTATGAATGCAGCACACACGATTTTCCAGGCTTCTGGTTCGAAATAAAATCACTTTTACTGCAACAACTCGAATATTATTCAGATTTTCTGACAATAGCCCGGCAGTGTTTATCACCCTGCCAAGAATCAGGACAGTAATATTCTACATTTCCGATCGTCCCCGAAAGCAACATATGTCCCTACGCTCTCTGCGATATGAGCACGGTTAGTTTGGTTTAAACTGACTTTATCCCCTTTAATAGAGCAGAATAAAGTTTGTACTCACAGGAGGGAACCGTACATTATATTTTCTCTTCTGTCCTGGCATTTCACTCGCTGTAATCCGCGCGGCTCAGTCACATTTTTCATGTTTTTACCGCAACTCGTTGCAGCGTCCATTTGTTTACCTTCAGCCCGAACACACACACACACACACACACACACACACTCCTGAGGTCACCCCCTGACCCCAATAGTGACGTCACGGCCTTTGACAATCTTAAATATATGGTGACATATATTTCAATTAATACCATCAAACCAAAGGAATTTAACATTTCGTTTTTGAGGTATTTTTGCTTAATGTAAAAATATAATGAAGTTGAACTACTAGACTGTTTAATTAGAGCTGAATAGTCCTTTAGACGTTTTATAGCCTCAAATGGCTCAATGCCAGAAAATTGTGGTTTTTCCTTCTTAACTTTAAGGATACCAACACATCACACCACATTTGCGCTTTGCATAACAATTAAACACATCCTGTGAAGATATATCTTATATCAATAAAATTGTGATTTAAGCGCATCTTGATTATCTATAGTGTATTACTTTGCATGGGACAAGTTGCAAAGGTCAAAGATAAGGTTAATCAGCATTTACTTCAAAGGTTATTCAACACTAATAAAGGTTCGAACCAGCAGGACAAGACTGTATATTATTTCTCTATCTGTTTGTCTTATTGGAAGAAAGGCAGCAACATGCTCCACTGTGTGCTGTTCGCAGTCTGTATATTCACAGCTTGTCATGTTGATGGTAGGTGACTAAATACATACGATACTGTATCTGTATCTTCGTGCCCTACTGTGAATGTGTTTTTCTGCAGTTTGTATTGAAATGAGAGCCTGTGTACGGAAACTGAAGCAAAATATTTTTTCTTATCTTTTGCAGGCTACACATTAGGTAGAGAAGAAGAAGAACATTTAAACCAGGTATTGTCTTCATCTGAAACATTAAACACTGCATGAGATTAGCTCCTGTTTCACCCTTGTGGACTATCTGTAATCAGAGAGCAGTGGTTACAAGACTGTTATGTTGTGGTTATAGTTGCTGTCACTCTGAATAAATTAAAGAAAAAAGTGACCAGCTATGGAGACGAGTTGGTAAAGGATGCAGCTAATTTGATTTTTAAACAATTTATTCATTTAATTGTTTGATACCATAATTTGTAAACAGTTAATGCTATAGGTTCCATACCAAGATGTGTGCTCTATCTGCTGCTTCTAGAAATCAATAAACCTAAGCTCACATGTGGTTTTTGTGTAGTATGATTTTGAAGCAGATTTTCTCCAGCGTCCTCTACATCCTGTGATTCAATGTCCTGACATGAGTCCGTCTCCCAGCATCCCTACGTCAGGTCAGTGCCACTTCACCAACATTAGTGTTCGTATTTGGAAAGTTTTAGTAGTAATTAGCCTGATATGAGAGCAATACACCTGCACTGAAATGGTTTAGAAATGCTAAGGAAAACGACTCCTTTGCCTCATATCTGGCTTTTATAACCCCTGATCCTTAGAAAGTTTGATCTAATATTTCATAGATCATCTGCATGCATGTCTGGTGTGTCTAAATTTCAGCCGGTTTGTTATCCCTTCCAGAGAAACTATACTTGTTGCATGACCTATAAATGATTGTGCTTTTAATATTTCACTAAAGGATTTTGACAAGGCATTAAATACAAGATTATCTTCAGATTAACTGAGTTTAACTGACTACTTCTTTTTTTCTGTTCTAGTTGAATATGTCAAAGCTGCAGATGTGAAAGTCATTGCCGCACTGGGAGACTCTCTAACTGTGAGTGAGTTGGTGTTAAGATGTATAAAAACAAACAAAAAACTATTTAATGTTAGTTTATATTGGAATAGAAATCACAACTGTGTTTTATTGGATACCATTACAGATTATAGTGCAAACCAGGAGAAACCAACACAGGCTGCTAAATGTAGACAGCCAACGTGTTCAGTATTAAATAAATAAATATGATATAATTATTTTTATTATATTATGATTCTTGGTGATAAATAATCATATGAATGAATACAGATATATAATGCATAATATAGGAATACAAACTGTGAAACAATCCAATTCTTGAAACTCAGCTCATTATTATGAAATGAAAATCTGTCCTGTGTCTTTTCAAAGATAGTTTTAATTTGTTGCTCTGAGATTTGTGTAAAATAATCCATAAACACAGCTCCAGAGTGTTGTCTTTACATTGATACCATCAGCATGTAGCATCATGAAATGATGTTACTTTTACCAATATCTGGTTTTATTTCACAGTATTATAGCAGTTATGTTTTATCGTGAAATCTTTATCCATCGGTGGAGACAAACAGAACCAGACCCAGTTATGTTATTAACTATTAACTCGACCGAAGCATGAGATAATGAGTTTACCATACAAACCATTAAAAACTGTGAAACCATAATGTAACAAAAAATAGAGGTTTTTAGATTTATTGTCATTTTTACTACCCATCTAGGATCCTCAAACAGTTTAAAGTCACTGTGTGTATTAAAAAACTATTTAATATATCACATAGGCAACACATTGGTATTTATACAACAGTGTTTTTCTTAAATCAGACTGTTGTTAGTACAGTATTGGTTTTTTACAGACAGCTATTGGTGCTGGTGGCTCTACGATCATCTCCATACCATTTGAATTTCGACAGCTGTCTTGGAGGTAAATCAGCTGTTTCATGCTGGACATTATCTTGTGCTGTATGAGCTTGGTTATGTAATGTAGCTTGTTTATAAAGATAATCTTATTAATGTTATCTTATCTCACCAGTCATATTATAAATGTCCCTGCTGTTATAAATATAAATGTCATTGGTCAGAAGCCGTGTCCCTTTCTCTTCTTTTGCTGTAGCATCGGAGGTTATGGGACTTTTGAAAATGTCATTACACTAGCAAGTAAGAGCATTTACACCAAGCATGCAGTTTAAATAACACAGACTTGTGTCAAAGAAGAAGAAAACATCTAAGTGGCTGCATTACAGTTTAATATGTGAACCCAAAAGATCACAACTATCTTAGCAGCTTAATGGAAATGAGTCTGAGACTCTTCTATTGACTCCTCTGTGTTTCTAGATATTTTTAAACTCTTCAATCCCAGTCTGATGTATCCATCCCCAGCAATGACGATGCACGGCAAACCTACGACTGTCAGCGAGACTGGCTTTAACTTTGCCGTCACCGGCCACAACACGCTGTAGGACTCCGCCGGCCTGCTTTCTCACTGTGCCTTCTGTTGATGCAGTTTGGGTTTCCTCTTTTCACTGTGTGCTCAGCCTGCTATGAACCTTGCTGATGATATTATTGAGACTCACTTGTAATTATGTCAAATTTCAAACATAAACTAAAACATACAATGTATGTTAAAAGGTTCCAGGGTCACGATGTTTTAATTATTTAAAATTGGTTAAAATGGGATGACCCGCGCCTCAAAAAATAGTTTGTGCTCTCCCCATGGCTCTTTTCTCAAAAAAGGTTTCAGCTGAGTTGAGAGTCAAGCCAGTTACGGAGCCAACTTTCTTATATGAACTGGTTAACCCTACTCCTGTCACTGACAGTCAGGGGTGCCGCTAGCAGTTTTGGGCCCTCTACCCACAGACTGTGGGCCCCCAAAGTTCGTGGGCCCTTAGAATCGTCCTAACCTTCCCCCCCCTAACGGCGCCCGTGCTGACAGTGGTCCTGTTTCCCCAACAAACCACAGCATAAAGCAAGGCATTGGCCACAAAGTGCTGGTAAAACTCTGAGCTGGGAGGAGAATGTGTGATTCTGTGGCGCTCTAACTCAAATCACACAGTGTACATGTAAATACATGGTATTATTTTAGTTGCAAATGAGAAAATGACTCACAATCCATTTGTCCATGATTTTTGCACCACAGCTTTGGGAAAGGCTACCACCTGTGGTGAGAGACTGAGTAGCTTTAAAATGTTTTCCCTAAAGCTCAAACATCTAATAATTACAGCTGAAAATGATCTGATATTCATATGCTGTTTTAAAGATGTTAATGATGACTGTGCACTGTGTGTCTGCAGAAACGTCTCAGACCAAATAAGACACATGATAGACTCATTCAAGTCTTATCCGGTAGGTGTCAGGGGTCAACCTTTTTTTAATCAGACAGTAAATAAACTGTTACCATGGAAATGACCTGAAAGCTGTTTTAGGGTCTGAACTTCCAGGAGGACTGGAAGGTGGTGACGATGCTGATCGGCATGAACGACATCTGTGATTACTGCAAAAACAAGGTAAGGGGAGTTTTTTGTGTTTCTTTTTTAAAATAAAGGTCTAACACAGGTTTATTCCAAAATGAGACACCTGTATGAGTTTTTAAAGGGCAGTATTTTCAATTTTAATTTTCACTTTTACATTTTAAATTGCAACAGAGTAATTTTTTCTGAACCCTGTCCTTCTAAATACTCAGTGATAGTAGTAGTAGTAGTCAGAGCGTAACCCAGGGCATGTCCACAGTACTAATGCTGGGTGTGGTGATTAATGCAACAAGGCACCTTTCAAGCAGTGAGCACAGAGAAACACTGTATCCTGCTGAGCTGAAAACTTACATAAGTGTTTTCTTTTTAGGATGGAAAATTACATGGCTGACAAGAAAACATTTTAATTATTCTCTAAATATTTAGTGGAAGTGGAAGGTATATAGGATATAAAAGAAAAATGACTTAAATATTGAACATGTCAATGGACTGTTAGGTGTTTTTAGTCAGATAAATATTGGTTAGGTACTTGTTGTATTAGAAATGTCTTTAGTGTAGACAGGATGTCTAGCTCAGGCTGTTAAATGCTTACTCATTTCCAGGAGTTACTCCAGGTTGTTTATGTTCCAGGATAACCAGATAGAAAGTGGCTATTGTATGATATGTTTAGCCGTAATCTTAATCATAATATCTTCTGAGGCTTAATGTCCGGACTTGTCCCTGAATGTCCTGTATGTTCTTAGATACACACCACTTAATCAACACTCACACACATTGCTTTTCTCCATGTTTTGACTACTGCTA